CGGGAAGAATGTGATGTTTTACTGAAGTCAGCAATGAAATTAGTCCGATTTAAATCTTGTATCTGGAGAGGTTATAACTTTACTAAGCCACAGACCAGATTGAAACACTCTTGAAAAAACATATCGGTTTACAGCACAATTGACAGAAACTAGCCCCAAGTTGGAAGGAAAGCAGATAACAATAGGTACCAGCCAGTTAGTTGTAAACTCCTAGAAGTACCATAAACAGAAGCTGGAAAGCCTCTTAGCCTCTGGGGTCATGTCATAACTGCCCTGTTGTAAATAGTCTGGAGTAAGACACAGCTGTCAGCCTGGGGTTAGTAATCTGTACTACTGACATACAAATGATACACAGATGAACTGTTTCATACAATTTCTACATTTCTTGCTATGATGGAGCTAGTGAAGGTCACTATTGGTTAGATGCCAAACACATATGTTACAATGTCCAGCAGTCAAATCTCCTAATTGATATATGCATCCAATTTATTATTGTATTTCGTGTCTATCAAATTGGGATTTAATTCTGTTCAATAATGTGTTAATTGCCAATATAGGAGTGTCCACTGGAACATCATAAAACACTTCAGCACACCCCTCAGACCTTTTGATTGGTTGTGTTATTTCTGTAAATCCCCTCATTGGGGACAAGTAAAGATAGCTGCATCTGCTCTCAGTTGCTCTTGATACCATTGGGACTATGACGGAATGCTAAGAGTCATTCAGGAAAGCCAGTGATTCCTAGATAACTCGCTGTAACCCTAACTGTGTTTCACAACAAGGCATTTCAAGAATACAGAGGACAACAATTTGTTCCGATAACATCTTTCTGCAAAATCTTTCGAGCAAGCGAACCTGTTATTATAGAAAGAACCTAACATTAGCATATAAACACTTGGTAATGTAGTTTTTTTAAATTAGTAAAATACACGATCATTATTTTCCTTTATCAATATAAATGTTTTTTCTTGCAATTAGATATTTAACACATCTATAACACTTGTTTTTTAGACCATTCTGGGTCTTCCTAAGATACTGCATAGCAGTAGCTAGTGACTGATGCATTGAACTGTGCAGAGTATACTTGACTTTCATTGCATTTTATATGACCCACATGTATGCTCTGAGGAGGAGATCATTTTAAAAGCAACACACAACAATATGTCACTATTACTTATTCATAAATTGGGGCCATATTCTACATGATGTAAAATTGGTGATTTTAGAAATTCACTTATGTTTAAACCAGCATGAGAGTGAGTGTTTATATTGCATTGAAGAATAGTACGTTTATGTTTTATTTTCATATATTAATTACAATACAATTAATTAGCAACTGTAGGGATTTTGGTTCAGGAACATTGTTTTAAATTAATTATAATTTATTATTTCGCTACAAAAATGGAATGGCTTGCAGTGGCATACTAGTATTATAAAATTGTTCCCTCTTAGAGAGAGCAATAACATTTACAAAATACTACCCATGGGCTTTTACAGTGTTGGGGGTCATATTTTGGGGTAAAACATTTTTTTCCTGATTTCGCTCATTATTTCATAGATATCACACGATATTTAAGCTTGTGCAATTACCCAAACGATTTAACGATTTGAGAAATCCATCAATTAACGTCTCTCTTCACTTAAGTCATATTTTATTGTGAAGCTCGTTATTTAATGTTTCATACCTTATTTTAACAAGCCTAATCAATAAATATGTACAGAAGTACAATTCACAAAGATTTTTTGGGACATTTATTAGACAATCGTTACATAAGCACCTCCTTCAGAGTGTTGTTATGACAGTATTCAGCTGTATATATGTAACATATAAACTTCAACAGTTTTAATAAAGTTGTTTACATACAACAGTGCAGTCTGTTGAAAATACGTAACTTGTAGGCACTGTTTTCCTCCCCTTCTGGTCCCAAAATGCATCAGTCAAACGTATTTTAACACCTTAAATGTTAATTCAATAATTCAAGACATAAAAATAACGCTTGAGGTGCTAAAAAAACGTCGAACATGTAAATAAAATTTTACAATTTGATTGTTTTAAACATTTTGAGGGTGGCCGCCCAGCTACCTATAGGCCTACCATGTGGAAATTACATTATGTAAAAGTCAGTTCTAATTTCTGAAATGGGATATTTGCCAACTGTTCCCAGTGTTTACTTCTAGAGGTCTCCCTACTTCCAGATAGACTTCCAGACAGACTACAGGTAAACCTGTAAAGTTTGCACAGTTAGCCAATCATGTTAGGTTAAGTTTATTATATCTCACATTTTCTTTAACTTGCTTATACAGTACAGTGTCCTTAGACACAGCAAACAAAACATTAATTCTTTTTAATATGGTATGGCAGTCATATATTTTTAAACAGTCACCCAAAGAATGTCACCCAAAGAATGTCTGCCCAGTTAGACCATTTATTTTGACATCACCAAAGGGCCACATATAATATTCATTATATGAAATGCTATCAAAACTGTCGTAGACTAAAAACGTACTAAAGGAAATGATTAGAAGTGATTGGAGTCTTGAGTCATCCTGCAGGAGACAGTCGAAGACTTGGGGACATGTTACATCAGACTGCTGGAGTTCACTGTTATTACAGCAATTTTACAAAGAAATCCTCCCGAAACTGACTACCTGGTCCAAGGGCCACACTGCAAACACCAAAGGGCTGCTGGTTCTACCCAGCTATGGCAGAAATCTCCTGCTCGAGGGCTTGTTCACACCAGCAGCTGCACTCAACTGCATGACTGCTGGTGTGCGTGTGCCCTGACAGTACCGATGCGCTCAATCGAGCCACATCGCACTGTTTCTTTTTTTATGTTAGAACTTTATTGAAAATATGGGCTCACCACAGTGCAATGTGGTTGTACCACTTCTCACTGCGGTGCGCTTAAAAAAGTACTGTATTTTGTACTTTTTTAACCTCACACCACCGGAATGCAGTGGTGTGAACTGTCACCATCTATAACAAGGCAAATTGTCTTGTCTTGTGTTTGGGCTGTGCTGGCAAAAATGTCCAGCACCGCCTCGAATGCAGATGGTGTGAACGAGCCCTGAGCGATACACAGCCTGATATTTGTCATGTGACTGGCTCAAACACTGCTTGCATTATTTGGGCAACTTGAGGAATGAACAAACCTTCCGCCCATGGTATTTGAAAAGAGAATAGTTTGTATAAAATGAGTAGATTGTACAACCAGATTGTAACATGTATGTAAGCCTTAAATGGAATGACTATTAAACATATATCTAACCTTGGATTTGTATGTGACTTTAGCAATAGGTGTATGTCAGTGTGTACATCTTGGTCCATTCTCAAATGGGTAAGAATAGACTAGTGTTCCCGCAAGTGCAGGAGCATATGAAGCGTGAATAATCTAATAATGCTGATAGATCTCACAGCTCCAACACATGACCCACTTTTTCAGTCAATTGGAAACATTTACACAGGAGATGCAGACGTGGGAATTAATTGTGTGTTTGTCAGCGTGTGGTCTGCTGGATGTAATCTGGGTTTTGTCTGGGCTTTGTGTTATTTTATCCATTGATTTGCTTCCTCTAGACCTGTAAGATAAAAATCATCTTCTGTGTATTGAACAGCAGTGGACATGAGTTCAGTCCGGGGTTCATGTACCAGTCTGTAATATTGACATCTATCTGATGTTCTGTTTTATCTAAATCTGGACTGGGGTTTTGAGATTATTTACCAGGAAGCTGCAACTTTTTTTTAGCAAAACCCACAATATGCATAAGCAGTTAATGTGATTTCATTAATAAAATCAGGATACACTGGGCAAAGGCTGCCCATAAACTCAAGAAAAGCAAGCAGCACCTTCAGATTCAAGCTTTTATTAAGCTGCTTCTGGAAGGGTTTAAAGTTAACCTGGTTTTTGTATATATTTTTCCTAATTTATTATGTTGACAATTAATAAGTAGAAGTTTAAGAGTAAATGTATATTTTTTCTCTCAGATAATAAAAAAATAAATATTGCATTTTAATATTTTGTGTTTTCATTTTCAAGAAAGCAGGTAAAGCTTTGAGCTCATTTTCACATGTTTATGCAGGTTATTCTTCTATTGATTTGGTGAAAACTGAAACTTATACACACAAGTGAATACTCACCCCACCCAACACCCATTCTGACTTTTAAAATTCACATTTCAGTAACTAGTCCACATGAATGCATTCCTGGCATGTCGCAATATACAAGGACAGGACAGTGCAATTTTAAGGTGCTACCTTTTATCAATGAAAAAAAGTCCTTAAAGCTGAGTTTCAGCTTTAAAAATGTATATATTCTTACATTGACCCAGCTTGACACAGTGTAAGTATATATAAATGTTTGCCGACAGGGTCACTGATATTGTGTAACATACTATAGTAGCCGCAGCTACTACAGTGTATTGCAAAGTTATGCAGGTAAAGGAACAGCCGCTGTGCTGAGTGGCTTCCCCAAGGTAAAACACAGAGCCTTGCTCGCTCAGCACAGTGGCCATTCAGAGATACCTAGTATTTTTCTGAATGAATGCTGAACATTCTCTGATTGGAGAGGGGAGGTGACACCACAACACGTATGGCCTAACACACTAGGTATGTTGGCTGGTATTCCAATAGTAAGTGGGCTGTGATAGCATTACACTGTGGATATCACAATTGTCACTGGTGTCTTTTGCTGAAGAGCACTGAGCTCTTTAGTTCCTCTGTTGCCAAGGAGAGGATCTCAGTATGGGATGAGTTATGAGCAACCTACTTGCTCCCCTAATGGTGGACAGACACCCCTCCCTGTTGGACTTTATTACATAAAATTAGATCTGTTATGGTATAATAGCCTAGATTTATTATGGGATAGCATACTAAATATGGTTATTGATACAAATCTTATACAATTTATCTTGTAAGGTCTTGTACTTAAAATTGTCAGTGATCTAAGTTATGGCTTTATTTTACAGGTGACCCATAGAACTGTCCCTCTTATATTTAGAACATGGAGTCCAAAGTGTCAGAAGGGGGTTTAAATGTCACATTGACAATTCGTCTTCTAATGCATGGAAAGGTATGAGACTCTGCTGTTTGTCTGGTAAAGTTAGCCTAATTCCAAAAAACGGGTACCTTTTCTTGTTTTCTTATATGACACAGAACGTATATTGCCAATCAGACACTGATCTGATCATTAATCATTTATACATATGTATTATATCATGATTTACTTGGAGAAGCTTATTTTTTTTTACACATAATAGCTTCCACATTTTTCTTAGTATATATTTATTTATTTTTCAAGGAATATAGCAAAATACAGAGGCAGAGAGAAAGCCCAATTAACAATCAAAATGATATCTCCTACATTTGCCAAGCCTGCTCATTTATCATGTTACACTCCAGTTTACAACTGGCCCACATCCTGGGCTATCATAGCGTGAGGGCTATCATACTCCACAATAATACCTGGGGGACTATTTATAAATATTTTCACACAAGATTCCTACAACTTTCACCCACGTTTCTCATTTTTTCTGAGTAAATCTAATTGGAAATGTGTGAATCTTGGGTGAAAAAAGTTATATATATAGACCCCCAGTTCTCAGGGAGGAAAAAATGGGGTTGTGGGCAGGAGAGGACATAACAACTTAAGGCTAAATAGGATGTCTTATCCACATCTTTTTTGAAGTTAGAAGTCTTAGAATAGTTAAAAAAAAACAGGCAGATAAAAAGACAATAGTAAATCATTCAAATAAGATTTATCTTACTTATCGTAAGATCTTTTTTCTTGAGGGCCATTGAGGGACACAGGAGGGTAGTAATTTTTAACATTTTGGGATCCTATACTGAAAAGAATCTGGCTGCACACCGCAAACTTCACTGGAAAACGTTATTGTAGGTTGCTGATTGGGTGAAACTTGTTAGAGAGGAACAGACCTAAGGCAGGACTATGTGAAGCTGTACGAGCTACAATGAAGTAATCCAGTGATTTTTGCAGTGTACGTCCAAATTCTTTTCAGTATTGAATTTGATGATATTGGAGTGAGGTCACGCCCAACCAGCATGCACCCGAAGTTTTCCCTAATCTGGCCATGGAGGAACAGTGCTGTTGTTTTTTTGTATTTCAAATTTTTGGGTTATACTGCCACCTTCAGGAGGTTTGGATATGGGCAAACAAAAGAATATTAAGTTAGCACCTGAGCAACCCTGCCTCCAACCATCATGCCTCAGTTTTGGGAACAAGCAATACACAAGATCATAACACAGAGGGACCGACATATGTCCCTGAATGGACTTTTATAAACAGAATTTGCAGTAAGTTAAAAAAGAATTTGGTGTCTAAAAGCAGTCTAACTGCAGAGTGGGCAACAGCCACTTAAAGGCGAACTATGGGGTCAGTGTTGTTCCCCATAGTTCTCCTTAGGGTAACGGGAGGACACAAACTAGCGTCCTCCCGCTACCCTAAGCTCAGTATACCGCGAGCTACAGCTCACGGTATACTGAGACGCCACAGCCGGAGCGGATCCCAACCTGGACGTCGGGATCCGCCCAGCTGCGTGAGTGACAGCTGGCTCTGCCTATCTAGAGGCAGAGCCAGCTGTACCCGCCCCCTCCCCCGTCCGTTCTGCCAGTCAGCGCTGGCAGATCGGAGCAGGGAGAGGGGAATCCAGCCCCTGCCACGGCAGGGAGCCGTGACAGGATCGAGAGGTGAGCGAACCCGGTATGTGTTCGCTCACCTCCCGATCTACTGAGCCGACCTGTGACAGTCTCATTGTCACAGGTCGGCTAGAACTATGAGGTGAGTGGAAATCACTCATCTCATAGTTCTCCTTTAAAGATCCAGTGGATCGAGAATCTATTACAACAAACTTTAAAACTATCAATGGCAGATAAAAGCTAGTTGAAAAAGTGGGACAAAGGAAAATAGGTAAATTGCCATGACCAAGGAAAAAAGACACAGATAATCTACCTGGTGTTCCAGAATGAGACAGGTAAACAAGGAATTGCTACCTGATGGAATAATGGGCCTCAACTGACAATGTGGAGGACAACCAAACATTCACCATATCTGTGTTCTCGGTTGTTCCTGGTGTGTCGAGCAGGGTGAATTTAGGGGTTTCAGGGGTCAGGAAGCAGATGAATCCAAACTACCCTGAAGGGGCCCCTGGTGAAAACTGACGAAAAGGTGACATGCCTTGGGGGATCCTGCGTTGCCTGCTTTCCCGTGGGATCGTCTTTGAAAACCTACGCTCAAGATCCAGCCAGGGTTGAGCCCCACAGTCCCTGATTGTCTGCTCCTCTCAGGTACATCTACTGCTGGTTATCTCCTCCACAGCAGCAAAAGTGCCACCTTGACAGTGGGTAGTGGAGTGAGACTGGAGAACAGTGAATCCATATTCCAGGTTAGCCTCACCGCAACCAGAGGCTTACTCAGAATGCAAATCTTTAAAGACTGGGTAACATCAGAGGCTTTGCCGTGGCTCTGGACCTGGAGAGCACTCTGGGGCCAACTAAAATATTCTACAAAGGTCTTAAAAGTGCCACAAACAGAGCCCAGTGCCCACAGTGGGGTTCAGCTACGGCCTCCAAATCTTAACTGAGGATATACCAGCAGTGATATCTGGTGTGAAGACACTAGCTCAAGCAGCGTTCTTTATTGAAGTCATCGAAAAATATCTTGATTAAAGAATAAAATAGAATATTCATTCAATAGTCCCTCAATGCACGATAAAGACATTTATTTTTTAATGTAGCTATTGTTGTAAGTATCCAAATTTGACTTATCAACCTAATGCAAGCCCCTATGCAGCAGCACTCAGACTGGGAAAGGAAGGGGAATCACTGAAAGCCAATCAGGTGTTCACAAGGAACATAGAAATAGAGGGCAGAGTGAGCAGAGGTATGACTTCATCAGTATGTATCTGCACTTTCACAGTCCAGTCAGAAGGCTGGGGGTGGAGAGAGGACACCACAGTATTTCTTAATTGTAACTGATGTCATCAACCTGGCTGTGCTGTGTGACAGTTGTGTACATTTAATGACTGAGTTAACAAAAATACAATCCATTTGCAGGTAAAACAGCTCCCTTGTGTGTATTTATTTTATCTGAGTATGTAGATGTTTGCCTGGAGTTCAGCTTTTATATTGTCATATTTCACCTTTAATATTTATACCAGACAAATACAGGGACAATTAGACCAGATAACAATACATATTAGCTGTCTATTAACAAATTGAGCAAACATCGATTATGGAATATTTTTTAAGTTTTGAGGTAAATTTATTATTGTATTGCTTTTTCGGCATGTATTTGAAAGGTAACCTTTAGAAACCCTGATAAAAAATTGATATTATTATTATTTTTTGCAGGAAGTTGGAAGCATAATTGGAAAAGTAAGATCTGATTTAATTTGCTTTGTTCTATTACATGTACAGAAGTTGTTAATTCAAGAATGTAACAGTGTAACACTGAAAACAGACAGTGCTTTAAAGTAGGGATGCACTGATACCGATACTAGTATCGGTATCAGTGCCGATACCGAGTATTTGGGCGAGTACTCGTACTCGCCCAAATGTTCCGATACCTTTCCCGATACGGGAACTTCCAGTCAGAGGGAGATTTCCTCTTTCCGGCAGTGCCGATAGCGAACATGGAGACGGGAAGCTGGCTCCATGTCGTTTGGCCGCCTCGATGCTGATTGGCCGGGAAGACGGCTTCCCAGCCAATCAGTGTCAAGCTGGGCAAACAAATCTGATAATATGGTGACACGACTCCCACCCTGCAGACAAATCATTCCCCTCACATAGATCCTTAGCAACAGTCATAAATGTGCCAGTCCCCTGGCCAGCTGGGCAGACACCGCTCTCCGGGATCTTCCCATGTCTTCTGTGTGCACAGCATCCGCGTGATCGGCCCTCAGTCTGCTACTGTGCATGGACAGGATTGCTGAATGAGAGCGCTGGGAAGTCTGCGCATGCGCAGTAGCAGGGTGAGGGACGATCATTTGGGCGCTGTACACACAGGAGACGTGGGCAGATCCGGGAGAGCTTGGAGAGCGGTGTCTGCCCAGCTGGCCGAGGGACTGGTACGGTAATGATTGCTGCTAAGGATCTACATGAGGGGAATGAGGTGTCTGCAGGGTGGGGGTCGTGTCACCATATTGTCAGATCTGTTTGGCCGGCCTCGATGCCTTTCCATGCAATCAAGAAGTTGGGCGGTGGGTAATGACACGCCGCCTGGCTTCCTGATTGCCTGGGAAGCCGGCTGTATGCTGCCTGATGTAGCGGTAGTGGTACTCGGCATCGGCGAGTACTGAAATATAAATATCAGTACTCGTACTCGTTACTGAAAAACCGGTATTGGTGCATCCGTAATTTAAAGTATACTTATACTCAAAAACACAACTAAGTAAGGCACCAGGTAAAGTAGCAAACAAATTCTTATATATTCATGAATTACTCTAGGCATGATTATATAATATGTAAATGTAGCTTGTCGTATAGCCACTTACTCGCATGTAATAAGCCTTCCCTTGGTTTGATTGATGTGTCTTGGTATGACAAAGATTTTGCATCCCTTCACTTTTTCCCTGTTTCTTTATTAGCTGGAAAAAGTTTAGAATAATGGTTATTTCACATTAATAGTGACCATATAATGGTGTCCTTCTTTTATACATAAACAACGTTTTTAATGTTCATATTGCAGCTAGCCAGTGAGAACAGTGGTGTCATACAGTATATATGCTAGCATAGCGAATGTGATCCCTTAATCCTTTTAGCAAATTGTACACTGATATATAAAGTGTGCAGTGTGGTCCTAGTTGACATCAATTAATGCTGCTTTTGTGCCTTCTGTTCTGATTAAGTGCACTAAAGATTTTGCATGCCAAATATTGTACCTAAAAAACAACCTACAGAACATTAAAGGCAGTGCATGTATATTTATCTTGAAAAAAACCTGCATTCCAAGAAGCTGTGTATGAAATTGTGTACGTACGCTTGCTGTGACCACAGCGGGAATATCTGCACATATGCACTGTGCAGCAGAGCATGCATTATGGCTTTTTACATTTTTTTTACAGTCGCCTTTGTTAATATGAGTCTGTATTTTATGCTGTTAGGTTCCTACATGAGATGTTAAGATGTGAGCTATAAAATCCCTAAGAGTGGTCAGATACGCCCAAAAACATTAGAAAATAATGTCAACATCATTGTGTCTGCTTGCATCATGGGCGACTTGGGTGTCTGATCACTGCACTGGCTTACCTTCATAAGCTTTAATAAATCAGGTCTACTGGATTCAGTACACATGTTCTAGTTTTTTTATTGACAAATGTGCTTTAGTCTTAAGTAACACCCTGCTCTTATCTAGCTAGTATAGGTTTGTCATAATGATTAGTTGCTATAGTTTAGTGCAGTTTCAACCTAAGGGGTCTATTCACAAAGCTGCCGAGGGCAGCCGAGTGAATGACCGATCAGAAGTGAAGTGAGCCGAACACTGTTCGGCTATTCACTTCAGGCTGGTACGGCTGATTTCAGCCGTATATCGGCTGAAATCAGCCGTACATCGGCTTGCTTCGTGTGGCTTCGAAACAGCCGAACATGCTCAGCATGTTCGGCTGATCCGAAGTGCAGAAGGAGTTCGACTCAGCCGATCCAACATCTGGATCGGCTGAGCCGAACCTCCGGCAGGCTTCACACTGCTGTTCGGGCTATTCTGAAAGATCCCGAACAGCAGTGAGAGAATAGCCGAATGCCGCCGAGCGGCATTTGGCTCGGCTGTTCTGCTCGGTCCCTCAGAGGCACCGAGCAGAACAGAAAAAGAGTGAAAAAAGTAGAAAAAAGTAAATAGAAAACGATTGTGCAGAGCTAGCAGTGACAGCTAGCTCCGCCCAATAGTTTCCTATTGTCCGGCGGCTCTGCTGCTGTAAAAAAAAAAGTTAAAAAAATGTAAAAACTCTCCCTGGGGCCCCGGGAGCCCCCCGCTCCCGGCCGCCAAGGAGAGAAACCCCGCTGTGTCTTTTTTTCTTCATTCTGGCACGAGCGATGTCAGAATAGAGGAAAAAAAAAATTCCCATTCAAAAGCATTGAGAGTTTACTATTGGCTATTTCAATTTGCAATTTGCAATATTGTGAATAGCCGTACAGCACCCCCTCGGTTCTCCTGACCCGAAGGGGTCCTGGTGCCGAAGCTAGCCAAAGGATCGGCCGAAGCTACGGCCAGATCCTTCGGCAGCTTTGTGAATAGACCCCTAAATACAATGCTAATAATGTTTGGTCAAACTTTATTACTTTATTATCTGTTTCCTACATAACACAGCAAATAAAACTTGTCTTAGGAAACCTTTGTGGACTTTATCTTTGCTATGTGTGCAAAACACATATAACTCTTGTGAACGATTGAACCTAATTTCTGCAAGGATTAACTATATAGGATTGGTAGCTTCACATATTAATGAAATCTTTTATGGGCTAGTATTGTACCATGTCTGCAGTCATTCCCACAGCAAGCATGGCATGTTTACATTATCATATTTTTTATCTATATATTTAAATTATTCATATGTAATGATATTGGATTATTGCTATTTGGAGTTTGATTTATAGTCCGTTTATATTAAGATGTATGGAATACCTTAAAAAGCACCATTACAACCTCTACAAGTAGAAAACGTGCTACCACACAGGAAGTAAGTTTGAAGTTTCATTGGGTTTCACCAGTCACTCATATTTAACATTCAGGATGCCATGGAAATGAAGAAACGAAGTTCACACTCTGGAATGCCATCTCGCGTTCAACTTTAAAGAATCTGTACACCACCCATCTATTTTGCCATAACAGCCCATCTGCCAGCAATGTTTTTAAAAGAAAAAATGAGTTCCATTTTAACTTCACTGGGAGACAGGGGGGAGGCATAATGTGTTCATACCTGCCATTGATGCATAACATGATAACTGCTTAAAGCTGATATTTATTTCTTGCTGTTGTCTGCAGCAAATTACAGCAGAGAGAGGGAGAGAGTAAACTGTACACCACTGGTACCCAAACTGTGGCCTGCGGGCCACATGAAGTCCTTTGTTTGCTTTTATCCGACCCTTAAGGCAATTTTTCCTCCACTTACTCCAATGATAAGGCACTATTTATTCCACTGTCACAAATGATGGGGTGTAATTTTCCCCACTGATACCAAGAATGGGCTCAATTTCCCCCACTGTCACCACTGATGGGGCATTATTACATCCACTGACACCAACAATTAGGCATTATTCCTTCCACTAACAACAATGATGAGGCACTATTTCTTCTCTGATATAAATCATGGTTCATAATTTATCCCACCAACAACAACAACAACATTATTTCTCACACTGACACAAAGAATGGGGTATTCTTTCACCTCTCACTGATCATAGGCGCTAGGTCATTTCCTCCTATTGATCCCCAACCCTGGGACATTATTTGGGCACCCCTGTTGCATACATATCAAATGATTTTGCAGGTCTTTAAGTAATCTTATTGCCACCTAGTGGTAATAGATGTTTTTGCTGTGCAAAAAAGGACAGGTAAACTAAATGACATCATAGAATTAATAATGGCATTTGTTTTTACTTTTTTGTTTAGAAAGGAGAAACTGTGAAGAAAATGAGGGAAGAGGTGAGTGATATTATAAGACATTTTATTTAAATTGTGAGCTCTCATGGGCAGGGCCCTTCTTACCATCTTGTCTTGTATTGTGACTGTAATGTCTTCCTGATATTGTAGAGTGATGCAGAAACTGTGGGCACTATATAAATCTTGAATAATAATAATAATATTATTAATATTATTATTATTATCTTAAAAGTAGGGATGCACCGATACTTTTCGAGTACCAATGCAGATACTTTGCATTTTCTCGAGAACTAAAAGGGTTGCAGCGGTTGCAGCTGGGACCTGGCTCTGGTGCTCCACCACTGTCCTGAAATCATTAGTCGATATTGTTTTACAAAAACTGTCACATGACACTAAACAAAAATGTATCAGTACTCGTATTTGTAAGTACTTGGGCATGTACCAGTACTCCTAACTTGTACTCGCAAAACTGGTATCGGTGCATACTTTTATTTATATTTATAAAATCAAAATCATACATTGAAACAGAGATGCACAAATCCCAGGAGCTCCGTGTGCTCCTTACAAATGACAGCTGCCTCCTAACTTTTGAATTTTTCTCTAGTCTAGTCTTGGAGCTGGAAAAGTATTGGTACTTGTACTTGTACCGAGTACTGTAGTAATATATAAGCCTATATATAAGCGTGGACCCTTTCATGACACTCTGCCTACAATACAATTCTATTGGCACAAGTTTGCTAGTATAGGATAAAATCTAGAATAAAGTCTTGACTCTCTGTTGGGGTTTTTTTTCTTGCATTACTCTCGATCAAATGTCTTAGATGGGGGAACATTAGGTTTAACTTCATTAACATTACAAACAGTGTATGGTAATAATGATATAATAATGTTTTTTGTTATATAGAGTGGAGCTCGAATTAACATTTCGGAAGGGAACTGTCCAGAAAGGATTGTTACAATAACTGGACCAACAGATGCTATATTCAAGGCCTTTGCCATGATTGCTTATAAATTCGAAGAGGTAACGCTTTCAAATCACTATTCATTTCATACAGGTTTCAGAAATTGTGCCCAGATTTTAATAATAGTTTTCATAAAAACACATTCATTGTTTTCTATATAGTCCAAATAATGTATGTATAATGATGTACAGTATATGGTCAGGTCCAGGATCTGCATTTGCTGTGTGACCTGAACTTGCTGACTGCCCTGCCCTTGTTCACCTGTCTTTGATCCTCAGAAAGCTCTTTGCATGTCCTATAAGCAGCTTTTGGAGCAGTTTTTGGAACCTGTTTTGGATTACTAACTGATTCTTTGGCTTTTCATCCTGCACTACAAGCTTGTTTTTTCTAATCTTGGATCTGGTTTCCTATATATGAAAGTTCCCATTGCACACTTCTCACTACCACTGATTCTGCAGAAATCAGGCACCATCGGAGCAGGCAGTTATGGAGGATCTGCTGTGCACTCTCTATTATCCTAACTTACCTGTCCTTCCTTTTTGTCTTTTCTATTTTGGTGCAAGCTTGAACAGCTCTGACCTGGGCTTAATACGCCTGTTGGTTACACATCACCTGGTTTTGGTTCTGACATTTCTTCTTAGATTATATTTTCTACATTAAGTCTTGCTGCCAGCTAGGCGCGATCAGCAGTATCTATCTATCTATCTATCTATCTATCTATCTATCTACTTCCTTTTTGTCTTTTCTATTTTGGTGCAAGCTTGAACAGCTCTGACCTGGGCTTAATACGCCTGTTGGTTACACATCACCTGGTTTTGGTTCTGACATTTCTTCTTAGATTATATTTTCTACATTAAGTCTTGCTGCCAGCTAGGCGCGATCAGCAGTATCTATCTATCTATCTATCTATCTATCTATCTATCTATCTATCTATCTATCTATCTATCTATCTATCTATATTGCATATCTAGAAAGAGTGATGTACACCACAGCACTCGCTCAGTAAGAACAGTTCTTCCACATCCACCTGAAGGTGGACCTGCCGTCCTCAAGGGCACCGGGAAGTATCTTCACATATCATGTAAAAATGTGAGGTTTTGGGAGTGAGAAGAGCTGAGATCTGTTCTTGGTGGAGGCTGACGAAGAGGGCGCTGTCTGTTTTCAGTATGCATATCTGTATATATTAAAACATGCCAGGCATTTTAAACTTGTATGTATTAAAATTAGCCAGTGAAGTATGTAGGCTGCCATTTCTCACCAATCCTTTTGAAATGCAAGTTGCATGCCTGTCATGCTGATACAGTGGCTTCAATACTGGGACAGAAACATAAGTGGCCAGAGGCATGTTTTATGATGGTGCAGTGCTACTCCAGAGAGCTGCAGAGGGAGAATAAATGACTTAAAGGAGAACTATAGGGTTAGGGCTTTTCCCCATAGTTCTCCTTAGGGTAACGGGAGGATACATACTACCGTCATCCCGTCACCCTAAGCTCAGTATACCGCGAGCTACAGCTCGCGGTATACTGAGACGCCACAGTTGAAGCGGATCCCGACAATTATGTCTATCTAGAGGCAGAGCCAGCTGTACCCGCCCCCACCCCCGTCCGGTCTGCCAGTCAGCACTGGAGGATCGGAGCGGGGAGGGGGGAATCCAGCCACTCCCCTGTCACGGCAGAGAGCTGTGACAGGATCGAGAGGTGAGCAAACGCCGGTATGTGTTCGCTCACTTCCCGATCTACTGAGCCGACCTGTGACAGTCTCATTGTCACAGGTCGGCTAGAACTATGAGGTTAGTGAAAAGCACTCACCTCATAGTTCTCCTTTAAGAAGGAGAGTTAAGCAATGGCAGCCCTTCAGATTTTTTTCTACAAAATTGTGTTCCATTGTATTGCACTGGATCCAACAATATACTGCAATGTGAGAATGCTGAAAACAATGTAACATGCTTCAAAATACAACAGGGTCAGTGTTGCTTAAAGTGGTTGATTGTCAGGTGCACGAAAAAAGCACTCTTTTGACTTAACCCAACAACTACTATTGCTACTATTGTTAAAAAAAAGTAGTACATTGTAATGAAAGTGTTCAATAAATCAACAAAGAAAATGAATGATTGTAAACAATGGTGTGAGTAAATGACAAAAACTGGAGTAAAAGGATGAGCAGAATTCAGGGTCACTGAATGTGTGAATGGATATGAGTCTGCGTTACTCTGTGTTCTAGATGAACTTTTACTGGAAAAATACTATTCCTCAAAATGTTGTCCTTGCAGCAGAAACAAACTAGCATGTGACACAATCCTAAATGTGTGTGTTGGATAGGACTAGACTATTCACTTATAGGTCTATTTATAAAAAAAATTGCATAGCTATTGGTCCAGCAAAACATTCATTCTGTGTGAATTAACCAGCATTCATAGTCTTAGTCCCAAAGGAGCCGCCAGAAAAACCAGGGTCATCACTAACCTGTCTATAGATTTTGGTAACCAGCTGCCCCATTAGCATTTAACCGCCCTTTTTTACTGCCCACAGAGTTAATATCTAAGCCAGAAGGATAATGCTGAAGAACATTTATTAAACATATTCACTCTGGGAGAGAGATATATATATATATACACATGGTTATTCACAAAAGGGTAAAGAGCTTGGAGAAGGCAGAAGTGAACAATCTAGGACAACATAGCTAATTTGGAAAAAGTCCCCAATTCACCTCATATTCCAGTTCAGCTATGTTGTCCTAGATTTTTCACTTCTCCTGCCTTCTCCAAACTCTTCATCCTTTTGTGAAAAACCCTGATAATGTATTTGAATATGTCACTTTTTTTAATTAGTTGCCTAGACTTCTGCTTTTCAACATATCCATACTGAAATGTAAGTAGGTAAACTGCCTTCTGAAGTCCAGTACAGGCACCTAGTGCTGCCTCCTTATACCTTTAGTAATCTTTTACAGCCCCACCAAAAAGCTTTTTTTTGATAATAATAATAACTTCATCTTCGAAGTTCGCTCTTTGGTTCTCTCTTACCCAGCTGTTGGTCAGTGAAGTCACCAATCACTTCAAACAACCTATAGTTAAATATGGGAAACAAAAAAGGGTGCAAAATGCACTACATTCCTAGTGCACAACGGTATTTGCCTATTATAGCACCCTAAATTTCAGGATGACCGTAAAAGATTACTAAGGTATGTGCAGACACTGTTGGTTGTCTCTCTTTGCATATTGAGAGTAGTTTACTTACATTTCAATACAATTTTAATTAAAGGCAAGAACAGAGTGTAAATTAACTAGTAATATTTGAATCATGCTGCAGAGGGCAGTATGTCACCATCACTGAACAGAATCTTCTAATCTAAATTTTACTACAGGGCACAAAATCCTTACACTGGATTAAAGTATTTTTTCTTCCTAGGATATCATAAATTCAATGAGTAACAGCACTGCAACCAGCAAACCACCAGTCACTTTAAGGCTTGTGGTACCAGCAAGCCAGTGTGGTTCCTTGATTGGAAAAGGTGGCTCCAAGATCAAAGAGATCAGAGAGGTTAGTGCACTGGGTGATTTGAAAGGTCAGTTGAACTGAAATACCAGGTACCTTACATAAAAATACCATTAACAATTATTATTTGTAAAAGTTTACATATGTAAAAAAATTTAAAACATTGTGAGACATTTGACATTTTATTTCATATCCTTTAAGCCAGTGGTTCTCAACCTGTGTAACCTCAGGACCCACATTTGTTCTTGGTCATTAAGTCGTGACCCAAGTTGCACTGCAATGGAACGCATGACATTGCGGTACAGAGCGTTCGGATGCGGGAAATCAAACTGTTGGTGGGAGGTGGGTTTGGGGTGCCATTCAAATGAATGGCAACACATCTGCCGCACCAGAATGCCCAGTAGGTGGGTTTGCGTGGTACAGTGCCTTAATCGCACAGGACTGTGTGATTAACGCACTGCACTAATGTGAATGGGCCCTCAAAAACAATGACAGACACAATCTCACACACTTGCAGACATTCTCACACACACATACACACTCCAAAACAAAATGTATTTATTTTTTAATTAATTTTTTTAAGATCCACCCAGTCTCCCTATGGACTGTCCTCAGCATGGGGTCCAGTGCGGGCTCCTGTGCTGTGATGGAGCTCCATCCATATGTGCATTGCTTGCTCCCTTCTTTGCCCTGTAGATGTGCGCACAAGGGAGCTTTAAGCAATGAACATATGGATGAAGCTCCCTCGCAGCCATGGCTCCATCCCACCCCACCTCAAGCTGACACTTGGCACCGGGCAGCACATTTTGAATGGCTGCTTGGCCCAAGAACAGACAATGCTGTGCTAGGGGGAAGCTGAGGAGCCTCTCACTTAGAAAATTGGAAGGAATGCGGTGAACCACTGAACACGGAGTCATGACCCACTTTTGGGTTACGACCCACCAGTTGGGAACCAAGGCTTTGAAGGGTTAATAAACCCTCAGCGTTTTTTTCCCATATATGTACTGCTAGCAAGATTTAAAAAAAAAAAAAACATTTTCAAACAGGTTAAAACTTACCTGTGTCTTTGCCGCACGCTGCCGTCCGGACATCTGAAGTGTCTCAGGTGGCCGCAAAGGATCTTGGGGCGCGGCGCATGCGCAGTTCAGATCTTCGTCCGGGAGACTAGGAGAGACACAGGGTAAGTCTATGGAGCAGCGTGCACCCGCACAGACTCCGTGGCACAGGAAGTGCTAGCTAACACAGAGGAGTCAGCGCTGGATCGGAGACCGCACCAGCGCTGGAGGGACAGCTGAAGACGACAGTAAAGAAGAAGATGATCGAATCAAGAGGCATCATTCAAGGTAAGTCCGTACAGCAGGATTGGGAAGGGGCAAAAAAAAGTTTGACTTTAATGTCACTTTAAACTAATATATCCTGTATTTCTACATTATCAGCCAATTTAGGTTAGAAGAGACTTTTCACAACCTGCCCCCAGCCTACTCCATTGAGAATGCTGAATGTGACTGTATCTGTAGGTAGATTTATGTTTTCCAAACTATTCATATCTCAGCTTTCTTTAGTCATAAGCTCCTGGAATGGTATGCTGATGTCACTGGCTATCGAGCTGATAGCCAGTGACATAGAGAATGGCGAAACAGGATATTCACACATCAATTATCTGGTGATTTGAAGTGAAAGTGAGAAAAATTCAACTTGACACTCTGGCAATAAAGACCCACCAGAAAGTGTATCTTTTTCTATTAATAGTTGTTTTATATACACAGTATAGAATTAAAGCCACTACAAAAGTTGTAATGGTAGATATGGAAAGTACTGGTCAGTAAGGCCATCCACCATAGTTATGGGCCAAAAGCAAGGTATGGGGGTAGGCCTGAGCTTTTGAAAAAAGTAGCTGGCCCAGATTTGTATAATAGACAACCCAGGATTTTGGGGCTCTTGAGGTGTCCTGCAAGGTTTACATTCACAGGCACTCCTAGGTGTCTACCTAGCACTTTTAGAGTGGCCATAGTGTCACTTTAATATCTTGCTTAATATAATGTATAATTAATGTTATATGTTCATAAAGTATGCCAAAAAGCATAGTACAACAGCTAATTCAAATATCAACATATGTCACAAAATGTCACAATATTTGGTACATTTTTGTGCTTTCTCCTTGTTGCAGTCTACAGGTGCTCAAGTGCAGGTAGCAGGAGATATGCTGCCAAACTCCACAGAGAGGGCAGTAACCATTTCGGGTACCCCTGATGCCATCATCCAGTGTGTGAAGCAGATATGTGTGGTGATGCTGGAGGTACAGTGTATCGGAGTAGCGGTAATGTAAATACACCACACCTCATTCCAAGACTGACCACAGTAAGAAGATAAAAATGCCTTGATATTGTAGGTAGTAACACTTATATAGTCAAAGCACCCTTTGTGGGAAAGGTAAGAGTGAAGTGATAAAGTTAGTGCAAATTGATCATGGCTACAGTGCTACTGATTAAAACTATCTTGAACACACTGGACATTATACAAGCAGAATGACATACGTGCATACATAATGTGTATTGCTTGTATGTGTAGAAATACATATAGTAACAAGCAATGAAGTTTCATCTTTCACTCGTCTAACTGCTATTAGCTAAAAACTGTTGGAACTTCTTGCACAGCCTCACAGAGAAACACAAGCACACAGTCTGATACGCTGCACATGGCTTGGAAAAACAGGAAGGAAGCCACAGCTTTATTATTTACCTTATTCAATACAACAGAGTATATACCATAGATATAACAAAACTTATATGCCAACTACTGACCGAAATGTATACTGCAGTAGTTGTTGCAATAGATACAATAATGTGTATTCTAACAAAAACTGGATGCCCTTAGTTACTGTACTTTGCATATTACAATTGCCCTTACTGAATAGGTTTAACAATATTTCATCTGAGCAGATTAAAGTGACATTTTTTAGTCTAACTATTCCTTTTAAAAGGAGGGATTGCAAGAACCTGTGTTATGGTACAAATTGTCACTGAGCATCCACCTAAATGCTTAATGCAGGCTGAATAGAACTCAAATTTTCTGGCTGGAGCACTCTTTCTTTTCCCTTTGCATGCTGTGCCAATAACAGCACCTCAATGCCATACAATGGTTCTCTCATTGCTTTGTAAGTGTTTGGAAAGGAGGGCCAGAGCAGTCCAAGTTGGAGGAGTTGCAACCTCTGTTTAGTGCACACCCAGTGTCAGAGGGCTTCCTGGGTTTGCAGTGAAATTTGTACTATAACATTTTGTTCTGTATATAAAGTAAACTAGTATGGCTAAATACTGCCCTGAACAAAAGTTTCTTCTCTATAGGTGGTACCAGACTATACCTGCTTAGGTGAAAACGAGTTTTCAGCTCCCCAAAATATCCTGCTTTCACGCTCCCATCCTCCATTTCACAATTAAGTTCTTGGTTTCATTGACTTATTGCAATGCGCAAGCATTGTTACAGGGAGGTGGCGTCCCTATGCTAATACACATATCAACTTTCACAAACTCAGTAGGAACCATAAGTGATTTTGGGCGCAGTGCTAATGAATATTATTAAGAATCAGCAGGCATGAGCTAGCACCTTATGTTACAGTGACAACTGTAGACCCGTTTTCTTCAATGTAGATTTAATTTAACCACAAGGATTAGAAACCTTTAAAAACCCTAACAAGTTAACTGTACACACTCGCCACAATTGTAGAAGAGAAGTCAGCACATTGAATAATAATAGGAGTAGTGTTAATATGATTTCCAAAGTGATTCACTGGCAAGGAATATGTATGTCATTATTCCTAGAGCTTGGAAATTTGTACCTATGTGGAAAAGAACAGTTATGAAAAATCTGGCAACCCATCTCCTTTCATAACATTTAGCCTGCGCTTGGGGTTTCTATCTCCCCTGGGGCTCTTACTATGCGTTTTAATTACCACTGTACTCCTCAATAGCAGAATTCTCCAACATCTACCTTAACTTAAAAAAAAAGGTGTGGGGTTTTAAAGGGGCTCAATCATAAAGTGCAGCTAAGAGTAAAAGTTTCTACATTGTGCATGGTAACAATATTTTCAAAAGCAATTGCCAATTTATGATGAATTTCATATACAGTATTGCATGAGCAGTATCAAGGCTTAAGCAGACCATGCTTAAGCCTTGATATAGATTTAATAGATATAAACCTATAGATTTTCTGCAGATTTTCTATGGTCAGATGGAAAAAGTGCAACAGATTCCTCCATCTACACTAAACTGTGTGGAACGCCACCATGCTGAGCCAGTCACACTGTTATTATTATACATTGATATAGCTCTGACATATACCGTAAATGCTGTACAGAGAACACTGAGCCAGAAAATAACTTTAGTATTGCGTTGCAATACCGATGGCGCTCGGGTTTAAAAAATGTTCCGCATCATCACCGCCTCAGGCAACATAGGGAAACACACATATATTCAAATATTTATACACTCATAACACACGCATATCACACAAATCACGCGCTCATTAACCACTTGCTGCCCGGAGCAATTTCTTACATTTGCACACACATGATAAAATCTGAATTTTTGGGTAGAAAACAGCTTCAGACCCCCAAACAATTATATATTTTCTGAAAGCAGAGGTCCTGTAGAATAAAAAGATGCTAGTTGCAATTTTTTATGTCGCACGGTATTCGTGCAAATGTTTATCAAACCAGTATTTTTAGGATTAAATACACTAAAATGAAATTTAGTGCACAGAATCAGAATATAATGGCTATTTTTTTGGTACAATATAAAAGACGGGGTCACGCCGGGCAAATAGATACTAAACATGTCGAGCATCCATGAAACCGGCAAAAACTACAATAACCAAAATTTTCCATAGGCGACGCTTTAAATGCTTTTACCGCTCATCAGTTTAGTGCTATCAGTGATTGATGGGCCAAGAATTATTGCTCTCACTCCGACGCTCACGACGATACATAACATACGTGGAGCAATTTTTGTTTTTGCATGTAGGCGCATCCGACGCGTGTTTGCGTTGTATGTGCGTGCACGTGCGGAAAGGGGAAACTTAAAAAAACATTTTTTTCCATTTTAAATTTTTGTTACTTTAATTTTTACCATTTTTTTTTTTTTTACACTCAGCTTTATTGCCATCACATAGCAGGCTAAAAAGCCCCTTATGTAATAGCACATATAATGTGACAGGTCCTCTTCATGGAGACATCAGGGGTTTTTCATACCCCTAATATTACCTAGGGACCCCAAAGAAGCTGATGAAGCAGAGATCTGCTTCACCAGCTTCTTCTTCTGGCTCTAAAGGTGGCCATACACTTTAAAACCATCGCAAGACTTTAGTCTTGCGATGATTGTAAAGTAATTTAAAAAACGTACGATCTGCCCATCTTGGATAGGCAGATCGTACTTGCGATCATCGCAAGCCCGCCCCCCTGAGGGGCGAGCTTCCGATGACTGCAATGCTAAACGGGCAGTGTGCGCGTGCGCACACCGGCCCGTTCGGCATTTGTCTCCCGAGCAATGTTCAAACCAGCCGAAAATCGTAAGATTTTCGGCTGGTTTTCTAGCGTGCTCCTTAGACAAAAGACGTGCGACCGTACAGTAGAAACGGTCGCACGTCTTCATTCACACTGCACGATTCTCGTACGATTGTGTAGTGTATGAGAATCGTGCACGATTCTCGTACGATCGTGCAGTGTATGAGAATCGTGCAGTGTATGGGCACCTTTAGGGGTCGTCCACACCACTTGCAGTGTGTCCCGGCCCGATTCTGGCCGGAACGCACTGCATCACTTTGCGGACAGCTCAATTTTTGCCGGGTAGGAGGGGGAGTGGCGGGCCACATTCTGGCCTGTCACTTGTACAACCGATACCCATGTAAGCTGCTCGGGCCCCTAAGGCTGGCGGGCCCCTTACATCAATATCGGCCTACCCCCCTGACGGCGGCCCTGAGGAATCTGTTGCACTTTTTCCATCTGACCCTAGAAAATCTGCAGAAAATCTATAGGTGTAGGGTCAGCTTAAATCTTTAAATGATTCCAATAGATTGTCTAAAATTTGATTTGATGTAGGGAAATCAGCGCAGTGCTAAGGAATATTATTAAGGATCAACGGGCATTATCTAATTACACAGTGAACAAAAATATGCACATGCTATGGTAATTGAAGGGCATTTCAAATGGCCTGGGCAGAGAATGTACACCGCTCAGCTGAATCATGCAAAATTCAGAGCTCATCTGCCCTGTCCTTAGTTCTGTATCAGTTAATAACTGTGACCTTGGCCAGTTTAGTAAATGGAAAAAAGCAGTGTGATTGGTCCACCAGTACAGTACAGTCAGCAATAAACTTGGTAATAATAGAGCTTAGATTTTAAACCTGTAGGATTACATATTTCAGACCCTTTGGTGATCTAATAAGCCACAAGATGCCCTTTGTAAGTGAGAATATTATCTCTCAGTTAGCGGGGTTGACATAGGAAAGGAGAACAGAATGTTGACTTCATTATATGCAAAATCCTGTTACTTATTTCCCTTGCATATACTTAGACAATTGAAGTGAAATCAGTTTTACCTTATTCATGTAAATAAACTTTTGCTTTTCAAAGACAGCATTCTCTGCTTATTTAAAAAATCAACTCCAATGAGAATGCTGTGATCCTAAATTACCTATGTCCAATAATATATACGCAATGTAATCTTTATCTATAGACCCAGTGGGGTTGATTTATTATTCAATGAGTGGATCATGTTGACCATGTTGACTTAGAAAAGTGCCTGTTTACTTACCATAGTGAATATGGTGAAACTATGTTAACTTTGGTCCTTGGTTCAAATCTCAGCCAGGACACTCCCACATTCCAAAGATGGTAGGTCAATTGGCTCCTGTCCCAGTATGCACAATTTGGCTATACACATGTGTATCACACAATAACTTTTCATACCCAATCATTGCTCCATGTCATTGGATTATTGCAAACCAAAATGTCTCTACTCCTTTAGTAAATCAACCCCACTTAGTCCTACTCATGAACTCAAATCAATGAAAATATCTTTTGAGATTACAATAACTGTAACCAAGTCTACACAATAATTAGTGACAAAGCATCTATCCTTTGCTAATAGGCGCAACCATAAGACAAGCTGAGAATCTTAACAGATAACTGCTGTAGAGAAAGAAGAAAATAATCATTGTATGTCAATGTGCTAAACACAAGCTGTGTTGTTTTCTCCCGAACATTCTTGTCTTTGACTGCAGCCATTGCTCATCAGTTAACCATAACATTGATGTAATCTCCACAGCACACATTTAGCTAATACTAGTGTCTTATCTTCTTCCAATACAGCTTTGTTAACGTGGTGTTTTTGTCTGATTCTGGGCGGGTGCTCTAATATTATCTCTCCCTCTCCTGTCCCTTTTCCTAGTCCCCACCGAAAGGTGCCACAATCCCTTACCGTCCAAAACCCGCCTCCGCCCCTGTCATTTTTGCAGGTGGTCAGGTAAGAGCGGACCCGCTGGGTGCCTCCACTGCCAACCTCAGCCTATTGCTGCAGCACCAGCCTCTGCCCGTTAGTTTTGCAAAGATTTTCTTGCATGTTCTCTCATCCTACAAGTGATCACTCATCATATTGGAACATAAGCCCTGAACCACTGCTGGCCTGGTGCTCCTGCTATATTCAGCATGAACTTTGTACACAAAAGAAAAGCTACAGGAAATTGTAAATAGACATGTTGCATTGTCTGTTCATCTTTGCATGAATAAAATATGTTTTCAACAACCTAAAAAGTAATTCTTGTGACCAAAGCACTTTTATTTTTCTTTCCATCTAAAAAGAAATTTTCTCTAACAGGTAAAAATAGGTGTCTGTCCATTAGAACACTTACAGTTAATTATTAACAGGCCCCAATTCATCCATCTGCTATAGCGCTTAGGGCATGCTAAAGTGACCTCTAAACCAATATTATCACATGCGATAACTTTGCTTGAGATACCATTATTGCAGCCCTAAAGAGCTATGTCGCTTTGTGAATTAGGCTTACTGTTGTTGCATTGGAATTTTGCATCGCTATCTAGTACATTCTGGAGGGAATGTACAGAGTACACAAGAGCTGTATTAAAGGGGCCCTGTCATAAGAGATCAGTGGTGGCTTCCTTAACTTAATATTCCTTTCAAAATGCTTGTTCCCTGACTGTTCATCAGATGCCGTGCATTTAATGCTCTCTAAGGCCCTTCTAAGGCCCTTTTTCACACGGGCTAATCAGAAGAGAGGATCCGTGCACCGCTGTGACATCTTGTGATGGATGAAAGAACTGAAACTGCCGGACCCCATATCAGTCTATGGGGAATCGGATGTAAACAGACGTGTTCATTTACATCAGATTACTCCCGACCCGGCACAATCAGGTCCAGCGTAACAGATCTCTGATCCGTTTGTTTTTCCGGACCTGACCATTTACACATGGCTGCCCGTAGGCTTACATTGGGCATCTGATCTGGTCCACTTGAAAAACTGACAGGCGGTCTCGGTTGGCCTAAGTAGTTCTGACAGTTTTCTCACACTCATTTACAGTATGATTGTTGCAGGTCTGTGACTAACACATACTGAAGCCAGACACAGACAGGCATATAGCATTTTCAGAAGGCTGCCTGCATTGGCAGCCTACCCCCTTCTCTCATGATAGAGTGGCTTTAAAAATAAATGACACAAAGACTATTACCTTAAAGCTAATCTGCTCTTCTCATGTTGATAGCTTTTGCTGCACTGCATCAAATGCATCTTTGGCAAAGGAAATTGTTACAGATGGAATAATAAATATGTTACAAATCACAGATGGCTTTCAATTTATAACACAGTGGTTCTGGAAGTGAACAAGATATTGTAGACCATAGAATAGCCTCAGACAGTTTTGACTTGTTAGGTTTCTGATGCATTCTGTGCAAGTCTTGTAAAATCCCCCATAGTTTTGAAGACTTGCACAGAATAACTTTAACCCAGTGATCCTTTTTATATTTAAAAATACTGTGGTTTTAAGGATCATAATATTTTTTGGTATTTATATGGTTCTGTAGATCCGTCTGACATCTTGTACTCATGGCCAGCCTTGGGGTATTCTGCAAAAAGATAAATTTTTTTGCCTCAGTATGAGTGGTGATTCTGTCATTGCTGACCTTCATAAAATATAAATCAGCTGATGTTGCTGATGTGCATTTTTGTTCTAGATCAGTTTAGAGCTAAAGCCAGAGACAGCGAAACAACTAACATTTCAAAAGAACATCATCAGTGGTAGCCACCATATTTCTTTCAGTACAGATTTCCTTTAATTCGGTAACACAAATCTGTTTTGCACACAAGATAATATTCGCTCAGTCAGAAAATTCTGTTATGTGCTGTTGATCTGAAAACACCAAATTATTCTTCATATGTTATTTAGATAGCGTTCATAGTCACATAACAGCTACAATTAAGTTTGTGAAAATCCACAGGCCAGCAGTGTTATTAAGAGCTAATGTTCCCTCATCCTATGCATGAATGGGAGGGGTAATGTAGTGGAATGCTTTGGTCAGAAATATAATTTAGAGACTATGGAAGTTATCTTAATTACTTTTTTTAATCTAAATGATGCCTACCATGCAGTTCTCTGTAAATGCTTAGAGGTTTGATAACAGTGACATGTGTTCCCTTAAAATGATGACTTCACTTTTAAGGAGCTAGTTCAATGATATGTGTGTTTGTGACTGCAGTTTTTATGGTGACCAACAAAATGAAAAGTCAATTACAATATACAAATTAACAAATTCAGGTTCCAAATAAAATCAATTTAACTGTTACCGCTGCTGGGGAACCAATTATACTAGGTCAAAGTCAAAAATTTTACTTCTAGGACTAGGCTGTTACAGTGTCCCCTTTTTTGTAGAGTGTACTTTAAAGACTGGCGGTAGGCAAAAGTTAAAGATGAACTCCAAATAGAAAAATGCCAATTGATGCATCTATGTATGGATGGTTAACACATTAGGAGGGGAATGTATCAAAAGAATCTGGAGCAGGTGCTCAGGGCAACCCATCAGCTTCTCTCTTCAGTTTGTTCAGTAAAGATTTGAAAATTAAAGAAAGAAGTTGAATGGTTGCCATGCACAGCTGCTCTAGATTTTGTCTGCTCCAGTTATGATAATTTGTCCTCTAAGTCTATATTGCATCAGAATGCTTCCTCTTCTTCATTGTCCAATTAGCAAGCTGGGGGCTTATCTGGATCCTGACGTTGTGCTGTAGCAGCAGTAACGTGCTACACCTGGCTGGCTGTAGATAATTTAGATAATTAAGAATTCTTTGGCATGAAAATCTCTCTCTCTCTGTCTCTCTCTGTCTCTCTCTGTCTCTCTCTCTCTCGCTCGGATCTTGCTCAAGCAATGCCCCCAGTTTTTCAGACACTAAATACATTTAAGGTGCCCATACACTGCTCGATTCTCGTACGAGAATCGGGCGAAATCCCGCGATCGTATGAGAATCGAGCAGTGTGAACGAAGACGTGCGACCGTTTCTACTGTACGGTTGCACGTCTTTTGTCGAGCCAACATGCTCGAAAACCCGCCAAGAATCGTACGATTGTCGGCGGGTTTCTAGCCTGCTCGTCCGATAGCTGCGAAACGGGCCGGTGTGCGCACGCGCAGACTGCCCGTTCTGCATTGCGGTCATCGGAAGCCCGCCCCTCAGCGGGGTGGGCTTTCGATGATCGCAAGTACGATCTGCCCGTCCAAGGTGGGCAGATCGTACAAGCTTTCAATAAGCATACGACCATCGCAAGACAAAAGTCTTGCGATGATCGTAAGGTGTATGGGCACCTTTAGTCTATGTGATTAGATTTTCAGTCAAATGATTTTTGATCAAAGTCTTTTTTTATTGTAGAAAAACCAAATGAGTAAAATTATTGAAGAGACAAACAGGTTAAGGTTTTTGACTTTAGGAGACTGTTACCCAGAGCAGTTTTTAGCAGCAGCTTAAACGTGAGGCAATTCTGATCGGACAAAGCTCAAACACTCCCAGCCAAAATCCATTTCATGTACAGATCTATGTACATGATTTTATTGTGGATGTGCCTCTATGGATTTTTTAATTGACTTTTTGTTGGTCCCACTTAACATTTATGAACGTTGGGTTCTGACGTAGACATAATTAGAGGTTAGTATATAATTATTGCTTTGCATGCATAACTTAAGTAATTTTCCAACATAATATAAAATTTTACTCTTACTTCTGGGCCCTCCCTGTAGTATTTAGCATAAATCTAGTCCCTTTTTTCTTTATATTTACTTGTTCAACTTATGTCCACCATAGATATTATGGAACTCATAGAAAACCAATAATATCTGACTGGTCAGGATTTGTAAACTGCAGAGGGAGCTGCAGAAAAATCTTGATTTGTAATCTATGTTTTAAGGGAGGCGGCAGGAGTGATTTCAATTTTATATTCTTTTGGAACAGCAGAAACATATTTTAAACTTGCTTGTTTACAATGTGATGGACAGGGCCTAGGAATTAGTAATGAGTATAACATAGTAAGATATCCAGTCCTCTGTCAAGTGTGCCTGCAGCTTTGTTTCCAAATGTGACATTCCACACTGACATGCACTTATTTCACCTTCTGTTTTAGGCCTATTCCATCCAAGGACAATACGCAATCCCTCACCCTGATGTGAGTTCTCATCTCTCATTTTCTACCCCCTCCTTCTTCCTGACACTTTCTTCCCCAGCATGCTGGTGTTACTGATAATTAATATTAGACCATAATATTAATGTGTCTGAGATGGGAGCTCTGTATCTTGACACCGTGGGCAGCCATGGGATCTGTGTCACAATGGAAAGAGGACTTGGCTTACTCATTTCTGTTTGTCAATGTTTATAATCTGTAGTGTCTAGGAACATTGTTTGGGATTGCATGTACAAATGCTTAGCTTATACCAATGTTCTGTTTGAGTTTGGTTAAATTCTGTTCAATGTAGGATAAACAGGGCTCAGAGAGAATTGTTGGCTGTGCTGAACCCTTTGGAGAAAGCTTTAGCAGTATACAGATCTAGAAGGCAATATTGGCTCAACGTTTTCACTAAAACAAAGAGTAACTTCAAATATTATAGATCTGCACACAGACCCTTACCAAAAGTTGACACCAGGAATTTGGGAATTTATCAAAATTGGAGCAGACAAAATCTGGAGCTGTTGTCATAGTAACCAATCAGCTTTTCTCTTTAGTTTGTTCAGTTAAGCATTGAAAATGGAAAGGTGGATGCTGATTGGCTGTTGTGCACAGCTGCTCCAGATTTTTTTCTGCTCCAGTTTTGATCAATTCCCCCCAATGTGTTTTTGTTCATTTTATGGAAAATACAATTTAGAGCTTTCAGACAGGAAACATAAGATATGTTGACATATTGAAAGCCTGTTTATTAAGTCAGGCTAAAAGGCAAAGATGAACAAACTGCATTAATTCATATCAATTGATTAGATTTCATCTTTCATCAGTTTTTCACTTAAGATAGGTGGCTTTGCACATTTCTGTTAGCCATATAAAACAAGTCATAGTAAGTCATAAGTAATTAGCAAGTCCTTCACCACACCCTTCTTACAGTAAATATTGTTAACATTAGAATTAATCATATAGTTTTATATTAGACAAGTAAATCTGTAGATAGGATCTTCGTAATTTGAACATTCTGATGCATCCGAATTTTCGAATTCGAATGCGTCTGAATGTGAATGAATCCGAATTTTCCGTTAACGAAAATTCAGATCTGTCTGAATTTCATTCAAAATGAAGCTAAATGGGACATGTGACTGTTCTCAGGCCAATCAGATGGGTTTTTTGGCTGTTAGGGGTTGCATTACAGGCACGGTCATGTGATTTACTGTTGTGGATCTGTCCGAAACAAATATTCGGATGAATATGAAATCCAAATAAAGAACAGAATCAAATTTCAGATACAAGAAAAACTAAAGAAATAAAAGTCAAATTGATCTGAAATTAAATGCAGCAATTTTTTTTATAGTTTATATTATTGGTTGCATCATGGATTAAAGTACTAGGAGTCACCAAATATGACCAGGTTTTACCACACTGGATTTCATGTTATACCTGTTTTCATATGCCAGGCTATAAACAGTTTACTAGAAGAGTTTGGGGTCAAAAGATTGTGAGCTTTTGTAACCAAGATTGTTAGTTGTTTTTATTTTGTTCACCAAACTCCTCATGGGATTAAAGAGCAAATACCTGTTAACATTCTGTAGTTCATAGAGAACTGACAAAGCAAGTATCAGATGAATATATCATCCTGCTGCTGAGATCCAAAACTTTAGGTGTCTCAGTCATCTCTGCTACTGCAATTACTTTTTATAGACTTTTATTCTTATATTTAATTATTACGTCCAATAATATTAGTAAGGGAGGAACAAGCTGCCTTTATTGTCTGGTTCTTATTTTTGTAAAACACCTGTTCCTTAAATTTAGTAGCAAAAATATCATACTTTTAAAATGCAGACTAACAGATGTGATTTATGATTGATGATATGCTGACCCGTCAATTGTTGATAGTAGAATGAGATCGAAATGACAGGTGTAAGCATTTGGAAGTCCCCCCTATATACCAAGTAAATGATGATTTGTTTGGCTGGTGGTAGTTTTGTATGAATTAAAGAAGGCAAATGCTGCAGTATGCTTACATTAATGCTTAGAATGACTAACTCCCATTTTATAACCAATGGCACGCTATGTGTCCAGAACACACTTATGACTACCATGAGCTAAGGAAGTAGTACAAGGTATCCATACATGGATCCCTAGATGTAAAGAAAACAACAAGCACTTAGAAGTAATTGGCAGGTGGTGTGATCAATGATTAGTGTGAGATTGCATTGTCTTTATATTTTAAGCCAAGTTCTCGCTTACCTAGACTGTGTATGTGTCCCATGGCTCCCTGGTACTTTGTTTTATTTTATTTTATTATTTGACTGTTTTCTTGTGCCTGTGACTTCTTGTACTCTCTAACAATAACCTTCTTAGTTCTAATGTCCCTCCTACCCCTCAGCAGTTGACCAAGCTCCACCAGTTGGCCATGCAGCAAACCCCCTTTACTCCCCTCGGACAGACCACCCCTGCTTTCCCTGGTACGTACCCAACTTTCCCGTTCTAGAGTCTTCCTTCTTTTCTCTTCTCACGTCTCAGGCATTTCACTTTTCGTTCATTTATGCTTCTTATACATTAATTTTTTGTAAAAAAAATAAAAACATTGAATAGTGCTCTCATAGCTCCATCTGCTGGCACATCATGTTACATGGATAGGCTGTACACTATTTGTACTGATGGTTCTTGGGTAAACATAGTCAAAACTAAGAACTGATAAATTAATACACTGCCTCATCAGATTTTGGGCTTAATTAGACAATATGAAACATGTTGATCTTCTAAGGGGCAAGAAACTTAAATATATGTTTTCTTTCTCCTTAGGAGAAAAGCTGCCCTTACATTCCTCTGAAGAAGCTCAAAACTTGATGGGACAGCCTACAGGTAACCCATGCTAAATTAGGAGGCTTTTAAGTCCAGGCCTACATTGGCAGACATAATATTTGGCATGATAGTGAAACCCAGAGGTATAGCTTAATAGGGCCAGCTCTAATAGAATGTACTATCAAAAAGGGAACAGTGGAAGGAGAAAAATGGCAGTTTGGACTTAGGAGGTATATATCTGCATATGGCCCATGCGCCCTTGTCATATTGCCAAGTAAGTAAATATACTAAATCATTTAAGAATATTCCAAGCCTCACTTGTGTGGTTGTCTTTAAGTTTGAGGTGGAGGGACAGGGAGAAATATAATTATTTTGCTGAGGGTTCTGCCATGGATATTTCTGCTGCAATTTTTCCCACTTGTGATCCATACATCTTCACGTTCTGCTTCACTTTATTGTACTTTTATGTATTTAGTTTTCTGTCTACAAGCATAGCCATGTTCATGGTCCGTACATTATGTACTAGGAATACACAACTTCAGCACTGGAGGTGTTGTAGCTAGCTAAAGGTCATAAAAGGTATTCCACTGCCACAGCTGTGTGCTGATTATTGACTATTTTTTGTATAGATACACAAATTGACCTTGGATAACTAAATAATAAGAAAATGTCATGACTGGAAGATTTAATATGATAGAGTTAGTTACCTGCTGCTTTACTGCCAAAAGCATTTTTACATTTCTATAGTTCAACAATAACATGTTCTGAAATATGTGTTTTCCACTTGTGCATAATGCCACTTTTGAACCAAATGCTCACCTTTCATACTGTAACCAATTTCGGCTGCCTGTAACGCAATGGGTTCCTCATTCATCAAATTCTCTGAAATAAGAGCCGCCTGTGTTTGTTGGCAAGTTTTTGTAATTGCATCTATATATTTATCAGTTATTATTGTTCATCGTGTCCTATCATGAAGAAGATTGCTTTCACAACATTTCACAGTTGCTGTATCTTTTGTTAAATAAACCAGGACCTAACATAAACTAATACTGTAACATTGTTCTGCAAAGTGAAGTAATGATGCAGATGGCTAGCAAGTAATCACCCATATGTTCAAATTGCATGGCAACATTCCTAAAACAATTCTGGAGCCCCAGAAAACCTAAAGTTCCTTGTATAGGGAAAAAGCATACTCCATGAACTCCATCCCTATCCAACAACACAGTGCATAATGTAGGGCATTGCTAGATCCTGGCATCCAGGACAAGTGCCCCAGGTCTTCTGTTGCATGCCCTGAGTCTCTTTTGTCATAATTGTTGCCATCATGGCAGGTATTTAGCACTGAAGCAATGCACCAGACTCCTGCCTGTCTCCAGCCCCATGCACTGTCCTTTTTAAATACCAATGTGTAGAAAGACAGTAATTGCCTAGATTGTTTTGGAGGCTGCAAGAGAACATTGAAAAGGCATAGCAAGCTCTGTAAAGGTACAATATGGCACTGGTAGTGCCTAGTAACCATCTGTGACATTACTTTGTTTTGCAGGATGATATAGGCTCACTTAGTTATCTCACATTGACTTCATTTTGTATTGCTTTCTGCATAGCCTTATAGCAACCAATCAACTGCATTTGTGTGGTGTAAAACTGTAAAACAAATGATGAGTCTGACTTTGTTGGTTTTTGGCAGCACAGTTCTTATTTCAGACAGTTGGGTAAATATGTTTGTAAATGACGTAAGGATGCTTGTTTTTGTGCAATGAGTGAGTTCTCCCTTAAGAGGACTGTAACGTAAAATATTTACATACATATTAAATTATTATTCTTAAAACATTAATGTATTTCCAAGTTTGAAGGTGGGTATGCCAGTTTAAATCCAGTTTGCTCAGTTCACTGAAATCTCTTGAAATGCACCTTAGTGTTTGATTCCATCTATGATTAGGATTTTGACTTGGATTAGAGCAAATATGTCAATTTTGTTGTTATGAGGGCACATGTGACCCCCAGTTTAGCAATTAAACCATTTATCAAATAGAATGTGACCCTTTTCACAATTTGAAATTGTTCAGTAGTTTCATAAATATATGATTTGCTACATTAGTTTGAAGATGGACATAGTTCAGAATGATTACTTTTGTGCATTCTAAAACTGTTTTAAGAATTCAAAAAAACTAAATTGACTAAAATATTTTAAAGCAGTAATTTTAAAATTATATTGGATATATAGTATATTTATTGCTAGAGAAATGCAGTATTTTTTTGAATATTCTACGTGTTTTTTTTTTATACTACCCTCTATACTGGCTTTCACCTATTCAGTTTTGAGTTTTGTTTTATCTGAGCTTGACGGCCTCTTTTACAAAATACCCTGTATATGAAAAATTTTAGTTTTTGCCTCTATTTGCACAGAACGAACATTCATAGAGATTCATGGCATGAATGTCTTGCAAATTGTTTTTAAATAGATCCCTAAGTTAATCTTTATTTATTTTAAATCTACTAGAATGGCTGTAGACCTCAAAGTCTGGCACCTACATATATGTTATTATTTTTGATACCTGGATGGTGAGGAAGGTCGGAGGGGGTGGCCTGAGCTCGATTTAAAAAAGCTGAAGTTAATAATTACATAGTAGTGTGCCCTATGCTTGGGAGGGATCATGCTTGGGAGGGAGCCACAGGGGAATGGAATAAACCCCAGGGTGTTCTAAAGCTGAGCGCACCCCAGCCCCATATTAGGCATTGAGGCCATCCATGATAGTTATGGAACAATCATGAGACAGGGGACAAAGTGGTTCAAGCTTGGACTCAGGTGCTAATGTTGAAATTGGTTTTATACTGTTACCCCTGATTAAGGATTCCAGCAGATACCTTAAACCACTCTTTGTTGCATTCTTTACATATTACAACTTCACCTCTTCAACCTGAATTTCAGGCTTAGCTTTGGTTGTATAGACTCCTTTCCTGTACTGAAATTTCTTACTCTGCCTGTGTGCAAATGCAGTTTGCCTAAGAACAGCCATACCTCCAGACTGACATAAATGCATTTTTATATTTTTAAAACCTCTCCCAAGAGCCAGCCCACTGCTTGCATCAGGGCTGAGGGTTCTTGAGATTAGTACTGGGGTAAGAAGCTATGATGTTTTAGGAAGTTTTGAATAGCACCCTGCTAGCCCTCCCACCAGCCACGATCTGTCTGTTTTCCATAGAGAAGTACAGAGGATCAGTGATGACCAGTATGTAATGAAAACAGCTTTAAAATTGTTAAACCCATGCTTTAAGACAAATGATAACTAAAGCTGAATGTGGCTTAGCATTTAGTGCTGGCAGTTGTAGTGGCTGATTATTAGTTACCATTGGTCAGAGTTGTAATTTGTAATGTTTATGAAATTGGACTAGCAGACAACAAGTGATCTCAGTGTCTGATCTCTCAAACAATGAAAGGCATAGCTCACAGACTGGTAAGTAGCTTTTCAAAGTTTTTACTGCTGCCATAAAACATATTACAACCCTCTACTATGTTGAGAGCCATCTGGCATTCTCTAAGCTGTGTCACAGTTGAGACACCTTTCAGTGTGCGCTTCTACAACAAATAGCTTGAAGTGATGGACAGTGGGGAATAAGACCAGGTGAGAAGCCGAGGAGAATCAAGAATGGGGTACCTAGGATTCCTTTCATGCTTGTAACCTGTGTCTTTCACATAATAGGTATGGATGCCAGTCCCCAGGCCAGTACTCATGAACTCACCATACCAAATGATGTGAGTATGATTTTTCTTGCTCTTTTACTCCACTGTATGTCTTTAATTTTCAACAAACTTCAGCATTTGTAGCCAGTAGTTGCCTGCATGGTAAAGTACCACAGATATTAAAATATAAACATTCTTAGGGCCTGTGTTGTAGGGCCTATGGTTGCTTCAAACGGGTATTAGTTTCCCATACAAGTCTATCTGATGGAAAACCCACTTGTAGCGGGTCACATGCGCTCCAAAGGAGGTCACATGCAGATCAAATGCACCTGCCAATAAATTCTGAATGATCTCTGAAGCATTCAAAGCTCATGCCAAACTGATGCCATTAACCCAAGCCCTAAGCCTGTAAACACTGGCCCTTACATTGCTTGCATGTCATTGGATAGCAGTAGCTGTTACAGCAGAGTGAAAATCTGATCTTCTAAAAATGTGACCAACATGTGATAAATATGGCTAAAAGCGTTTGTCCTTTATAGATGTTATTTTGGCAAATATACAGTGGGGTCAATTCACCAAGCTGTATCTAAACGTTAGTTTACTACATGACAATCTAAAAATGTTCAGTTCACATTCATAAATATTATGTACTAGTAGGTTTGGAATCCTATTTTTTTTACATGAAGTAGATATTTAATTACTGCAAACTGGATTTCTTTTTTATTTTACCTCCTGAAACATTGTTTCATCTCCACCATAAAGAGGCATGGTTATGTTGCCCATTCAGAGCACAGTGATAGTGTCTGTGTAAAGCTACTCGCCAAACGATAATACCGCTACACTTGTTACATGCTCTGTCTCTGAAAGAACCATATCAGTGGCAACCAGTAGAGATGTGAAGTTCCTTTCGTTCCGAAGGATATTCATACGAATTTCGTTAAATTCAGACATTTAGATGCATCCGAATTTTCACATTTGAATGAGTCAAAATGTGAACCAATCTAAATGGTCCTTTAACGAAAATTAGGATCCGTCCGAATTTGGTTCAAAGCTAAACTAAATCGCACATGTGGCTGTTCTCTGGCCAATCAGATAATTTTTTTTGGCTGTTGGGTTGCAGTACAGGCACGGTCATGTAACTTAATTCCGAAACAAAAATTCGGATGGATCCAAAATCCAGATAATGAAACTAATAACATTTTGGGTCCGAAATCTAAAAAATAAAAGAAATAACATTCCGAACTGATCCCAAAGGAAAAAAATACATGGGGTTACATTGCTAGCAATCAGACATTCTTTCATTATCCCTTTGAAGTATGCATGCAGCAATGGAAGAATGGATCCAGTGTTTAGCAAGAACAGGTCTGCCTTTAGACTGTTGGAAATACAACAGATAAACACATAACCAATATAGACAATTTTATAAAATCTATGTGAGCTGGCGTATAAGCACTTTTGAGTAACAGTGTAAAAAGCTGGTGAGCAAACAGACGCTACAAACAAACGTAACTATAGCTATAGCCGACCATGAGACCGCTATAGGACCCAGCTACACAGAGCTCAGTATTCTGGCTATATATTGACTTATAGAGGAAACAATGACATCTGGTAAATTTCTTTGTACAAAAAGAGCGGACCTGTAATTTGAAAGTCTGAATATAACCAGCATGCTGCAGTGTCAGTGTGTCAGACTGGAACTGGTCTCACTAAGCCCCTAAGATACCATGGGATCCAGGGACCCTGTAATCATTTTTCTATTGCAAATTGTGTAACTGCATTTGGCATCTTTTCCAGGAATTAAAAGTAAACCAGCGTTAATTGCTAGCAAAATAGAATAAACATACCACCCAGGGTCTCGCTATGCTCACCCTTGTGATAAGCCTGCCTATACATGTCTAGTCCAGTTCCTAGTTTCTGCAGTGTTAGGATAACAGGAATATGAAATGCACAGTGTTGGCTATCTAAATTTAAGACTGATTTTTGGTATACATGGGATTTTAGTAAATGTATATAATAATTAATGTATTATATGATTTGATATGATATTTTTTATAAAAATCAATTTTTGGATTAAAGGGTGGTCTTTTATGTTTGATTTAAGCTCAATTCCGGTCCTTATAGATCAGTGGTTCTCAACCTGTGTAACCTCAGGACCCACATTTGTCCTTGGTCATTAAGTTGTGACCCAAGTCGCACTAAAATGGAACGCATGGCATTGCAGTACTGTGCATTCCGATGCGGGCGAAAATAACTGTGAGTGGGAGATGCGTTTGGGATGCCATTCAAATTAATGGCAATGCAATGCACCTCCCACATGAGAACACACGGTAGGTGCGATTGCATGGTACAGTGCATTATTCACACGGGACTGTGCGATTAACGCACTGTACTAGTGTGAATGGGCCCTCAAAAACACTGATAGACACACACAACCACAGACACATTCTCACACACACATATACACTCCCAAAAATTCTATTTTTTTTTTTTATCCACCCAGTCTCCCTACTTTACAAGAACAGGAGTGGGCTGCTGTGTTGTGATGGAGCTCCATCCATATGTGCTTCTACTTGTACAGCTCCCTTGCACACTCTGTAGAGGTCTCAGGAGCCAGAATGTGATGCCACTTCGGTCCAGGCACCTCTACAGGACACACAAGGGAGCTGTAAGCAATGCATGTAACGATGGAGCTCCCTCGCAGCCATAGCCCTAGCCTACCCCACCTCAAGCTGACACTCGGCACTGGGCAGCATATTTTGAATGGCTGCTCGGTGCGAGAACTGACAGTGCTGCGCTACGGGGAGGCTGAGGAGCCTCTCACCTAGAAAAGTGGAAGGCACGCGGTGACCCACTGAACACTGGGTTGTGACCCACTTTTGGATCACGACCCACCAGTTGAGAACCAAAGTTATAGATAAATAAATAACCGTGGAATAAAGGAGCAGTGGGAAATAAAGGAACTATAGTTAGAATGGGAAGAAGGACTACAATCTCACATTCCCATGATGGACTACAATCTCATGTTTAGGTAACTAATTTGTATTGAGATTGTAGTTCAGCACAGGAGTGAGCTTGGAGTGGTGGCTACTTTACAACACATACAGGGGCTATGGGGAACAAAAGTAGCCACTCTCCAGAAGGAAGGACAATGTCAGCACCAATCCAGAGATGATTTGAGGATCTACAGCCGAGTGATGCCCAAATAGATACATTTTTGGTAATAGTTAAGAGACTTGAATGTATTTTTAAGGTTTTACTCCTGAGTTTAAATCCTTCTTGCAATATCCAGCAGTAGCTTGTATCCCTTTCACTCCTCTGCAACACGCGTCTTCTTCTTTGCAAGCAGAACTACCTATAAAAATCAACTCCAGCAGGTAGATTATGTCCCCGGGCCTCCAGCATTAGCCCCAGGCTAAGGCAAGGCTCAAGCAGAGAGACACTCTGGGCAGGTGTCCCAACCATACCTCTGAACAAGGACCTCAGGGATTGCTTGGGCCAGACACACATTGGTAACTTACCGATTGGCCTTTTCACTCTAATTACTGGCACCTCCATCACAGCAACAGGCAGAAGCAATCAACCCAGTGGTCTTAGAGAAGACCTGCAGAGCTCAGAAAAAGAGAAACAGCAGCTCAGGCTTTGTTACTGCCTAGTAACAAACACACTATGTTTAATTAGGGACACAATAGCATAGGCCAGAGTCCCTACACACCCCTGGACATGTCTCAACTGCTTTAATTTTCCAGCTAATAGGTTGCATCATCGGACGCCAAGGGACCAAAATCAATGAAATTCGACAGATGTCTGGAGCACAAATCAAAATTGCCAGCGCCATGGAGGGGTCAGCAGAGCGCCAAATCACCATCACTGGAAGCCCAGCAAACATCAGCCTCGCTCAGTACCTCATTAACGCCAGGTCAGTGCATACCACTGCATATCATGCAGCTCCAAGTTTGTTGAACAGCGTTTGAGCCTAGTTCAGTATCTTATCAATGGTGATCGTTTTTTGTGCAACATTGAACCAAACTTGCCTCTCTTTTATAAAATCTTTTCACCCCACGTATATACGGTATACTGGATTATATTACATTGGTAAACGTAGATTGTGTACAATTGCAAAATATTAGTTTTCCATTTTCATTTAAAAAGGATCTAAAATTGGAAAACTGTTGCTGTACTGCGAGCCAAAAAGAGGGATATTACCAAAATGTCAGCAAAACCAAACAAAGACACCTAATAATGCCACATAATTCCTAATTCCTAATAATTCCTGCCACACTTGAATCATCTAGAGGAGCAAATAAGACCTATGTGGAGAGATGTAGGCTCCATGATAAACTCTTAATACAATTTCTCTATAGGTGGACACAGTAATTGTATTCCATGCTCTGTTAAAAGCTTGAAGAATCTCAATAGTAGATATATTCAAAAAGTAACTGGTCCACTTCGAGAGGCGGGTGGAGCGTTTCGCATAATAAAGATCTAATCTATAGCACCTATACACCCTAGCTATTGCACCCTTATTTGGGTTAGGTTTCAAAAGCAGCCCATCTAGAGGTTCTCCCAGTTTGAAAGGTGAAAGGTTTTTAAGAAAAGGTATTGGAACTGGATAACCCACTGGTTCTGCATTCTACTATGTTTTTCTTTCTTAGTATAATTAGCATTTATATATTTTTTCTTTAGAAACACAGCCAGCACTTTTTGAAACAATCTAGTGAGTCAGCTTTCCTCTCTTACCTTCCTGCAGAGGGCTATTTTTCATTTTCACAGGTCTTAAGGCCGTGACACACAGCACGCGAAGCCGCGCAGAGCGAAGCAAAGCTCTCCGGCACGGAGCTTCGCGTGCAGTGTGTGAGCTGAGTGCAGTCAGATGATTGACTGCACCTTCAGCCAATCGGCTCGTCTGTAACAACCGGCCAGACGTCGCATCCCGTCGCGCCGGTTTATACGCGCAAGCCGATTGGCTGAAGTTGAAATTGTTCATCTCGGCACGCTCAGCTCTGCGAGCTCTCGCAAGCTGAGGTGCCGAGAAGAAAGTGACATGACACACTGCTCGCAAAGGCAGCGCGCCACCGCTCCGCGCTGCTTCGCGTGCAGTGTGTCACGGCCTTTACAGGAAAGAACTCTTTCCTTGAGCAAAACTTAAACCTCTTTTTCCCTATTAGCATTAGTTCCCTCTTTTCTTCGTGGTGACCTTAAAGTGAACAATTTTCACTGAATTTGCTTCATGGATAATTTAGGATATACTTATACTAGAGCATCTACTATTACACATATGCTAGAGGGAAATTATTCCTTTTTTTCCCCTTATCAAATGGTTTGTTTTCTATCTTAGAATAGAATAAAAAGATGAACTGATATTAATGTTCTCAGCTATTTACTGCTTAATCTAAGCACAGAAGTAGAGTTGGACTAGCACATTTAAAATGTCTTTCTATGAATGGCTTCAGTCCATGGATGGTTGTATGTGTATGAGATACTGCGTAACTAAGGCAATGGCCTTTTGGCAGGGATGCCCTCTTATTTAACCTGTCTAATTAAATCCAAATATTTTTGCACCATGATTAATAAACTCTTCAAGAGTTCTTTCTGTGGTATATCATTTTCCAAACAATTTGTGCTGGGCCACAGCTAACCACATAGTATCAAGTCATATCACTGTCAGCTTGGCATAAATACAAATGCTAATGAAACTCAAGTACCGTATGAGCCAAATGTTATAATTCTGTGACTGTCATAGTTTTAACAATCACCAGAAGACAACACACAACGGCTGATAGGGAAAAGTCAAGAATTTTAAATGTAAAAGAATATTTTATATTGTATTTAAATTTTTTCAATGGAAATTCAATTTAAGTGACAAATGCAGAACAGGTTTTTTGTTTTTGTTTTTTTTACCTTTCCCCAGGCGCCCCCCCATTTTCTTGGTCACTCTTTATGCAGCTGCACAATCTTCAGAACCAAGCAATATTGCGTCATTACATTAGGTTGATGTTAGGAACCCAAGTCTGCAGCTTTTGGTGTTGAAAGCAAAGTCCGGTCAATAAACCTGAAAAATGTCACAATAAGGAACCACAACATTTAGGGGCATTTTTTTTAAAGCAGTGACTTTTACCAAACTTTTACTGGCAGTGAATGAATTATTGTCACTTAAAACACATGCACTAGGAAGATTCACCTGCAGTAAATGTTTGGTTAATGCAGTGGCGGACCTAAGGAACAAGGTGCAAGATTTTTTTTTGGCCCCCCCCCCCCCAAAAACAAACAAACAAACACAGCGCTATCCTCCCGCAGCGCTCGGCCGGTTCTCACTTTCTATCCTCACCGCTGGGGCACAGAGCAGCGCCCAGCGGGGAGGAAAGAAAGCAGGGATGCGTTGCTGTATCGGCAGAAAAATGGCATTATTGCTCTCACTGCGAAGTTCGAGGCGATATCTAACATGTTCAGCACAATTGTCGTTTTTCCCACGTAGGCGCTACAGAGCGTGCAGGTTACTATTTAAACCGTTGCGCTGTGTGCAGCTTCTGAGAAGATACGCTATTAGCGTAGCGGGGAAGCCTGCTGCGCATTTTGCATCACCCCCCCCTCGCTACGCCACCGGCCGGGAGTGTCGGATGAACCAACACTCCCGGAGCAGAGACTGGGGGCCAGCCGGCCGTTGGATACAGAGCTATCCATCGGCCAGCAACTGTGCTGGGCCCCCTCGAAGGCGGAGGCCCTGGTGCTCCCGCACCGGCCACACGGGCGGTAGTTCCGCCACTGGGTTAATGTCAGATTAGCTGCTTATAAACATGCCACTTAAAGTATATCTAAGCCAAAACCTTTTTTTTTAATTGTAGATAGAGAATGTTTAAAACCACTGTCATTTTTTTGCTATCTTTGTGCCATTGGAGAGGTTTACCTTTACTTTTTGTTCTTTAGACACAAGGGGGAGTAAGGGAAATGCCCCTCACTCAGGTAGTTGTCCCAGTTGAAAAAATCCCCCTCTTTTCCTATTCTGTGGGGACACAGGCTGTAATAAAAATCTGGGAGGGGTTCTGACCTCTAAACCTTCTAACCCTTAAAGTCAACCTGAAGTGGAATATACATACTTAATCTAGGTAGCAGATCCATTATCCATCTTTACTAATGCCTAGACAATCTAAAATGTATATATTGACCCAGCTTCATGGGTGAAAACTCCTGGCCTTGCCTCCTCCAGCCTCCTAAGCACTGACATATAAGGACTTGCTGCCCAGTAGTGAAGCCTAAGAGTTAAGAGAGTGGAGCCAGGCCTGCTGCACCCTGGTGTAGTTAGTAAATTGCTGCTCTTGCTACCCAAAGCAACTAATCACATTTCTCTATTGTCCAGTGAGGGTCAGACCTTAATGATAATTTGGCAATCTTGAGTTATACTGCTACCTACAGGTGAAATGGGCACTAGGCACATGGAAAACTTAAGGCCAGCCTCCTTGAGTCTCTAACCCCCTCCCACCTCACACCTGGTTATTTATGCTTAGTGCCCTTAGCAGAATGGATTTCTCTTTCCTTTCTGCTATACTTTTTGTTTGAATTAAAATACTTTCTACTATCAACAGCTACTGGTAGATTCAGGCTTGATGTTGGAAATCCTGGAAATCTCTCCACTTAGCCAATGGGTGCAACTTTTCCCAGTTCATTAAGTATAATGGTGTTTTCTCTCAGTCAATCTCTCTGCAGTTAGTTACAAACGACAGTGACTACCCATTTCTGTTCCAGTTAGCACAGGACTCCTCTTTCAGGTCAAGCCAGTATCTGGGAAGTCCTTGGGGATGTATCGGGACCAGAGCTGCGGCAGTGTTCCTGTCCGTATCTCTGATGACTCACTGAGGTTCTTAAAGGCTTTAAAGCCGTTAAGGAAGAAGACACCCTTATAACAGAAGATGGTGCAAATAACAATGCAGGTTAACTACTGTGTACAGGCCCTGTCTATCTAGTGGTCATGGAATATAAAAGAAGTCTGCCAGTGGTGGGGCCCTTGAATTCGCATTGGACTGTTCACTCTCAGTTGAAGGTACAGTAATACTTTGGTTTACAAGTAACTTGGTTTGAAAGTCAAGACAAGCAAACATTTCTGAAAAATTTTGTCTTGATATACAAGCAATGTCTTGCAATAAGAGCAAAATTTTGTAGAAAAGCACCACCCGAATAAGGCTGTAGCAGTGCGAGCGATGAGTCTGTTTAACGACAATGCAATGTCACCTTGGATAGATTCCTTGTTAAGGTTTCACGAAATGAAAAAGATTCCATTGAGTCGAGAGATAGCAGTGATTCTGTTAGTGATAGTGAAAGTCATCCTGCACAATAATCCTCCTCTCTCTTGTCCCCCTCACACCAGCCACGAAGGTACCGGTAATTGGTTTATTTTTCTTTATATTTTGTACAGTATTATATTACAGTACAGTATTGTAATCATTTTTATATTATGGGTTGTGGAACGAATCATCTGAATTTCCATTATTCCCTATGGGGAAATTCGCTTTGATATACAAGCGCTTTAGATTACAAGCATGCTTCCGGAACGAATTATGCTCGTAAACCCAGGTATTACTGTATTTGTAATCCACGGGTTATGGAAGGAATACTGCCAAAGTGTCCTGGACAAAGCTCTACACAGCAAGCAAATCCGATACAAACAAGCGGCCAAAAGGCCTTCCACTACTCCGATGTTGTGTGGATGTCCTAACAGCAAATAATCTCATGAACTCTGTCCCAGGAGACTGGGTGATGACAGATACAGAACAGGCTGCTTCTCACCTGAATAGCAAATGACCAGCAACCTACCTAAACAATCCATGTTTTTTATCCAGTCAACTAGGCCCTCTAACAACAGTTGTTAGTACATTTGTAGGAGGAATGTACAGTCAGATTATAAAATGTGTGAGTAGCTTTAGAGGGCCATTATGTGGTCACCATGGTGACTTTATTGGCTTGCATCACAGTGGTCCTCAATTCTAATACTATCAGGAATACAATATGGATGGTGCTTTTATGATTTCCTTATTTTTGTATGGGTTTTGCTTTATACTCTGATTAGACTGGCCCTAGTGTGTCTGTAAATTTTGACACAACAAAATGTACTAAAGAAATGTTGAAAAGCGGCAAAGGCCAATATATAGACTATTCAATGAAAGAGTGTGAAGGGAAGAATGAGCCATGCATTGTAATCTTAAAGCTGCCCATACTGTAACAATAAACCAAGGACTGATCATTTTAAGTTCAAATGATTGCTCAACATAACTTAAGCTAGCCATACAAGGCTAGAAAATCAATCGATCCAACCAACTATGCTTAACAGCGTGGATGGAGGGATGTCCATTGTCAGCTATTGTATTCACCCTATTGTAATTATTAATACCTGAACATGATAAGATACAGTCCCTGTTCAGCTGGTTTTCCACCTGGCTCAGTTTTTTTTTTAAATTGACTTCTGTTAAGCTGGGTGGTGCTTACAGGGCCACCTATGTCTCAAATTTTGCCAGATATAGCAGGAATTAGCTGAAGTTCAAGCCCGTGTGTGGCCAGAATAAGAAAAATACTGACTTCCTGTCAGGGTACTAGGGGGCTTACCTCTCCTCGGGGTGGCCATGTGCAGCGGGGGTCACGGGTTCCCCTTCCTGGAAGGACCCCTGGTACCAGGATTGTGGGTACGCATTCGCGACAAGTGCGCGGTGGACAGGCTGCGCGCGCAGGCACGGGGACATGCACGTAGTGCACCTGTTACTGGTATCAGGTGTGATCCTTGCTGGGGGAGGTTCCCAGCACACACCCTCTGCCCCTCTCTTGCCATTGGCTCCTGATGGAGAGGCTAACTGGTTGCCTCGGTAGCCGGGGAGTGGTCTCAATCCTCCACTGAGTATAAAAGCCCAGTCAGAGCCCTGGCTCATTGCTGAGTTATTCTATCCCTATGGTGTGATCTCCCAGCTCTCTGTGCCTTGAACCTGTCTTTATTCCTGAACATCTGCTTGGACTCCCGATTACCGACCCTTTGGCTTACCTTTCCGTTACTGAAACTAGCTGCCTGCCTCGACCCGGATTGGTCCTGACTATTCTTCTTGGATCGTCCCTGTGTACCACGACCTCGGACTTTGGCTTGCCGCCCCTGCCAAGGGGTTCCACTCACGGCCCAGCCGTACCCCCCTGACACTTCCTGATTTCGTGTGATCAATTTCTGAAAGTTACAATACCTAGATTAAAAAGATTGCTATATGAAATGATTGCGCTATTACATGTATGGCCAGCATTAGGGTTATACAAATAGACAAGTTAAGACTATTAATAATGTATGCTGACCATGAGAGAAATATGGGGCATATACTGTTAGACTTCTGTGACTCAAAGGGGTTGATTTACTAACCTTTTAAACACACCACGAACGTGTATACACCTCTGTAGTGTGTTCCCTCCCAGCATGATCTATGGGAGGAATCGAAACACCTTTGTAGTGTGTACACACCCAGCAGGTGTGTTGTGCAAAGCCCTGCAATGAATTGCAAGGTAATGTGGTGTAAATTAGCTCTATGTTATGTTGCTTGCGTTGATGAATGCAGGAATGTAAATGCATGAGCTAACCATTTTTGTCTAAACTGTGAAGCAGCATTATATATGCATCATGTGCATGATTTTTCCATATATGGCATTAGTGGAAATATGCTTTTAGAGACTTTTTGGTTGATAAATACGTTTTGCTGTGTGAAAATCACACACACCTCGTGCGCGTGTTTAGGTTAGTAAATCACCCCCAAAGTCATTGACATGAAAGCATTATTTTTACAGCCAGACAATTATCGTTTTTGGACAAGTCACCAATGGCAACTTACATAGGTATTTCCTGACAACTTTTCTAGCGCTAGCTGATGGTAGACAAATACTGGAATTTACATATGCATTATGGATTAATTAGCACTGACACTAATTCTCTCTCCCTTTCTTTCTTTCTTTCTTTCTTTCTTTCTTTCTTTCTTTCTTTCTTTCTTTCTTTCTTTCTCTCTCTCTCTCTCTCTCTCTCTCTCTCTCTCTCTCTCTCTCTCTCTCTCTCTCTCTTCTTCCTTATCACATCATCTACCACATCTTATATGTTGCATTTACTGTATAATCACTCTATTTATCTGTTTAATTCATTTATTTATTTTCTATGGTTGCCATTTTATATTCTGTTTTATTTTCTGTATCATCTTTTCCTGAATGCATTGAGCTTTCCATTACAAAATTATTTTTCCTCTCCTCTGTTCCCTCTACTTGCTTCTTTCCAGGCTGACGTCTGAGGTTACTGGGATGGGCACTCTGTAATTTCCTCATATTTTGACCCTTCTGGCTACTGCCAATGATTACCCTCAAGAATTTGGACTCTGACTGCAGACCAGGATTTGCCAAAGCTGCTCATGGAACCTTTTGAGTGAATGCATGTATTTCCAGCAGATAACTCAATAGATACATAGGAACCCAGCCATTGATATTCAACATTGCACTTCATTAGATACAAGCCAATATATATACTGCACTGTATGTATATATATATATATATATATAGCAGTACAGTCTTGCACCATCCGTTGTGAGCCATTGTATGCGTATTGGTACATAGAAGATCTAGCTGTTTTTAGAATTGCGCTCATATAACATTATGTTTGGTAGTAACCCAGCAACGCATGCATGCGGCATATTGTAATAAAGGACTGTGAATCTTGCTTACCTAGGGGAAATGACATGTATTAGTATGTTGGAAAATCCATGTATCTCATGAGTTATTCTGCTGCTGTTTTATTTATTGTGTTATTTTACTGAAATGGTTATGTGATACTGGATGTAATTAGATTTGTGATTTGGTAATTAGCATGTTTACATCACATTTGTATGTATATTCGTACTTTGGCTTGATTAATAAGGTGATGTCACAGAGTATATAAAGATCATTGTTCTTTTACATTTAAAGGGCCTTTCCATAGAGAGTGAAAAACCTCCAATATTACTTGCATAGATGTGTGGGTCTCAAAACCCCCATGTAAGCAGCTGTAGAACACTGTTCCTACTCTTATCTTAATTTTTTGGAAGGCTTGAGTCATTTTAGATGTAATATTGGTTATATTCAAAAGGAGGGGATGCAATCTCAGATTCACCAGCAGGTGCACTGCAGGTGAATTTTGAGATTTTGTCTCCAAGAATCTGTAGATCTAGAGAGCTGCAGGCAGCCGAGACGTTAAAGTCTTTTGGAGGTTTTTTATTTTTTTTTCTTGGAATATTGATAAAATTCTTTAAAATAAAACTAATTTGGCCTAAATGTTTTCCAAGTAAAAGTTCTGAGGTAAAGACACCTTGTGGTTGCTACAGTTTACTGTGTTAGTCTTCAAATGGACTAATGTGGAGAACCTTGGATCCCAGGCCAAGAATATATATATAATACGCCCTCCCCCTACTTGCTTTAAAGTGGAACTACAATCTCCTATCCCTTACAGCCAAGGAAGGTGCCATCACAGCCTCTTTATGGATTGCAATTGTTGCTGCACATGTGATCTGCTATGACATCAACCAAAGTTCAGTTGAGAGCTAAAATAAGCACACTGGCAACTTTAACATTTGGCATACCTTAAATATAACTGTTTTGGGAGGCCATTAAATTAGTGGGTACATTTCCTCTGTAAGCCCTTCCCCATCATTCTAATCACTGTCAAATGCCAGAAGTTTGATGGGCAGTTGAGGTTCTGGGATCTGACAGTTGAATGGCAGAGGAAGAATTCTCCATTTGGAGAAGTTAGAGTTTGATTTAGACTTTGGAGAAGTCGAAGTCCCATCTGCTGAGCTTCCAAGGGTGCTTCATGGGGCAGGATTTGGAGACTAATACAGGTACTTGCAAGCGCCACAAAGTTCCTGCACATCAGCAATGTTGTTAATATATGAATGTTTTATGCCAGATCAGATTAACTTTAATGTGGTGTTGTTTATTAAAAGAAGAGAACATAAAGTGTCTGAGCAATAGAGGGCACAGAATGTTTAATTTAATCTGTATTTATATATTGTAACTGGGGACCAACTTCCAGCTGACATTCCTTCCACAAGTTATGCATTTTAAAACTATGTGTTCACTCATGATACAGTGTCCCTTTTCCATTTAAAATGCAGCTTACTAAAAGCACATAGTCAGTGGAATGATAAACTGAAGGTCTTTTGCAGGCTGCTGGTAAATTCCAAACTCTCCATGTGAATCATTGAGAAGTCATTACTCCTTAACCCAAGAGACACACTTTTAGTGAGTCTGCAAGTCAGACCTATACATCATGTTTTCAGTACATGTGTCCTTCAGCCGTCACAGATGCAGGTTACAGAGGGGGCGGTTGCTGAAACTGGAAAACAGCTTTCGATCCTGCAACCCCTCTGTGGCAGTGCAGGGCAATGCCACGGCATAGTATGGCAACATTGGCACCCAGCACTCTCAGCCACAGGGGCTGAGAGGGTCCAGAATGTAAACAATATTATAAGGAAGAGCCTGGCTTTTCAGGTCCTTCCAGGTTTTCCTAATTGTAGCTGGGATCTGGAGTTCTGGAGATCTCTTAGAGCTCTGGGTGGGATGAGATCTCCAGTCCTGGGGCCAGGTGTTGCCACCTCCTGGCCCCAGGACCTTGGCTGAGAGTCCTGGGTGCCAATGTTGCCATACTATGCCGTGTGGCATTGCCCTGCAATGCCAAACCTCATAGACTATCAATCATGGTCTTTAAAATCTGTCCTCTTCACTTCACTGAAAATATGTTGTTCCAGGCATCATATATCATGTTTGATTCCTTTTGCCTAAATTATCTTCCTCCAGATGTTATATAACAAGCAGTATCCATCTGTGTACCCAAACTCCACTTCGCTGTTCAAAGAGAGCAGAGAGTCATATTATAAAATGGTGAATGTATTGGAATAAGGACAATTTTTCTAATATAATGGGGGCAAAGGGGGCTTACGCTCTGGTTTTTAATAGGGACCTTTTCATCATGCACATATGCCCCCTGTTGCCCTAATTCCTTACTCCCAGTTTTATCAAAGTAGTTAGATGCAAGTTCATAATGTCCCTCTGGAATTTGCAGCCATACAAATAATTGGCAGTGGGGCTAAGGAATGTCAGTAGGCTTCCTATTCTTCTGACACCTTTAGCTGCAGGTTCATTGGTGTTGCTTTCTGTCTTTTTGCCGAGCAACTAATAAGAAGGGGGCATGAGCCATAGTAACAAAACAGCAACTGCTTCCTTATTCAGACCAGATTAATTCTCTTAAGAGTGGATCCCTATACTACACATTTCCCCCAGACATAAACTTAAATAAAACAGATCCTGCTAGGAATGTAGCTTATAAGCCAGCGACTTATGAATATGTACAGTTTTGAACAGCTGCCATTATCTTACCGTCCAACACACCAAATGGCTGCTTTCACAGAGAGTAACAAAATCTGTGTTTAGACACATACTGACTTACAGCACTGCATCCCATGTTCTTAGTACATACACACGCTTTTATCTCACATTCTGCAGTTTCATCAGGATTACTTTTCTCTCTGCTCCAGATACATCTGATTTTTCTGATTCTTCATTTTTAAGGCTCCCTTAGCTTCCGATGTCTATTCTGTGGAATTAAACTTAGTTCATTTAAGTATGATCATTTTGTCTTTTTGCTTCTTTGAAATTAATGTGTATGCAATTGACTATTTATTGAAAACTTCAAAGAATATATATTATTCTATGACCATTTCAGTATCTGTTTGTTTATTTCTGACGGCAAATGCTTATCGCTGTTTTCAAAATCAGAATGTTGTACAGAGATGAATACACAGTGGATGTTTTGCAGGAACAGTCCCAGGTATTGATTATTTGTCCCCCCGTAATTTATGTCCCTGGCATCGTCCCTGACTTTGCACATTCATGTACTTCAGAAGATTCCTGATTTTTGGAAAGTTACATCCAATACATGATATGGCTTATTACCAGAAGAACCAGACTGGCCTACAGTCTTCAAGAAAATATCATGGGTAACTAGCACAGCTGCTTCAACAACAAAGTGTCCATGAAAAGTATCATAGCAAACCTGTCAATGCTACACAAAGTGACAGGTTTGCTTTACAGGAGGAACCTTTATCCGCTAGTACAGCGGTCGCCAACTGGTGGTGGTCCACGAGAAAATTTTGGTGGTCCCTGGGCCCCTTTGATGCCGTGCAGGGTGGGCCGTCATTGAAGCGGCACGGAGGCTCCGGGGCTGCCTCTCACTGACTCGAGCAGCGGCTGTCATAAGGAATGCGCGGCTCTCAGTACAGTGCGGGCTCTGCAGGAGGCGGAGCATCTCATCAGTACCCGTACTGAGCAGGCTGCGGGACAAAAAAAAAGTGGGGAGAAGCCAGGTAATAGTGGCTCAGTGTGGGGGAAGGGGAGGCATAGGGTGGTTGGGGGCAGTGCTGAAGCTAGGGGGGGGATGTGCCCCTGCCGCCGCCGGCAGGGCCAGTGGCAGATTCGATAGGGGGGGAAACGATGAATATTATTACAGGGCCGGGGCGGGCGGCACCGCTCCCTCCACCAGCACTGCCACTCCTGCAGGCACACCTGCACCTATGTATGTATGTGTATACATACTGTATGTGTATATAGATATATTCTCATTTTTTTTGTTTCCTCATATATAAATATATTCTCGTGTGTGTGTGTGTGTGTGTGTGTATACACACACATACGAGAATATATTTATATATGAGGAAACAAAAAAAATAAGAATATATATATTTTTCTTTAAATCATATTAGTGGTCCACGGGATTTAAAATTATGAATTTAGTGGTCCATGAGGTCCGAAAGGTTGGTGACCGCTGTGTGATACTTCACTGGTTTCCCACAATGGTACAGTCTGTGTCTGAGCTGCCAATCGCCAGGCCTGATTGCTGTCACGTGGCTGTGTGAGGGAACATTCTCAGCCTTGTGTTATTTTAACATGGTCAGAAAGTTGATATTGTGGGCATTCTGAGCATGGAGTGGGGCAGGGGTGCATGGAGAAGGCAAACATTTAATGGTACCACCTTCTAAAATAAATCTGTTATGGTGCCTGGTATCTGAAAAGTAAAAGTTCATCTTAAGACACTTCATTTTGTTCCATTTATTTCAGTTGCTATTGCAGCCTCAGTAAATGATCATGGGGTCATAGCTATTTTCTAGCTCCTGGGCCTGACAGGACTTGAAATGAATCTCTTTGGTTTCCAGTGCTTGTGACTAAACCACATTATAAGAGAACACCTGGGGAGGATGAAGAAATACAGTGGTACCTCATGTGACGGACTCCAGTACTCAGCATGAGTATGTCTGCCTCTGTATTCTTCCTTACTGAGGAGATGCTGCAACCCGCTAATATTTAGCTCCCAGTTTCC